ATCATCAAAAAGATAAGAAATAACAAATGTTGGCATGGATGCAGAGAAAAGGGAACCCTTGCACAATGTTGATGAGATTGTAAATTAGTATAGTCACTATGGAAAACAGTATGCTCAAAAAGTTAAAAATAGAGCTACCATATGATCCAGCAATTCCAATTCTGGAAATATATTCAAAGGAATTGAAAATACATCTGTATCTCCATGTTCACAGCAGCATTATTTACAACAGTCAAGACATGGAAACAACCTACATGCCCATTGATGGATAAAGAAGTTGTATAATGCATATATGTTTACATAAAATATTTATATATGTATATATAAATACACACAATGAAATACTAAGTCATAAAAAATGAGGAAATTCTACCATTTGCAACAAAATGGATGAATCTAGAAGGAAAAAAATATATATATAGAAAAGAGATTAGACTTATGGTTATCAGGGGCAGTAGGTAGGAGGAAGAAGAATGCAGGAAGTTGGTCAAAAGGTACAAATTTAGAATTATAGGATAAGTATTAAGGATGACAAAAAAGTAAATCCTAAGGGTTCTCTTCACAAGGAAGAAATGTTTTTCCTTTATTCTTAAAGTAAAGACTATATTTTTTATTTTTTTTATAGAGGCATGTTTTATTTATTTATTTGTTTGTTTGTTTGTTTTGTTTATACATGCACTGGGTACAGTCAGAAGTGCGGGAGGGTGAGAGAATTCACCAGAGCCAGAACGGGGAGCAGAGCAGGCAGAAGGACCGAAGTACACTGCTGAGGGGAGCAGCGGGCGGCAGGAGAGGTCTGTGCGCCATGTGGGACCCTCCTTAGGTGGCCTGGGAGCAGCTGGGGATCGAACTGGCGCCGCAGAGGCTGTGGGCAGCTTTGCAACCCAGCGCTCAACCGCTGTGCCACCGGGGAGGCCCTTTCCTTTATTCTTTTCTTCTTTTTTTTATTGTATCTATATGAGAAATGGATGTTTTCTTCATAGCAAATTATGTTCTGAGGCTTAGATTGTCTTTCTTTTTTTTTAAAGCTTTATTTTTTTTAATTTGTTTTTTTAAAGATTTATTTATTTTTATACAAGAGCTGGGGTACAGGCTAGAGGTGTGGGAGGGTGAGAGGATTCACCAGAGACAGAGCAGGGAGCAGAACAGGCAGATGACTGAAATACACTGCTGAGGGGAGTAGCAGGCGTGACAGGAGAGGTCTGCCACTCCATGTGGGAATCTTCCTGGCTGGCCGGGAATCGAACCTGTGCTGCAGAGGCTGCAGACAGCTTCACAGCACTGTGCTCAACCTGCTGCACCACCTGGGAGGCCCCAAGCTTAGATTGTCTTTGCCAAGTTTATTTAACACATGTTCACTTCAGGAATAATAATGTAAAATGTATTTCAACATAATGTTGAAATACAATATAATGTACAACATAATGTTGTATTTTAATATAATATATTTTCAACAAATCAACAGCATACAGGATAATGTCTCTTCTTAAGTCAATGAAGAAATATCCTCCAATCTGTATAGGGCAAACTTGGGGGAAAAGAAGATAAATCAATTTGTGAGTCCTCACTACAATTAAGACCCAAAAGCAGATACAGAGAGGAAGAAAAAGGACTTAAAATTATTTATTCACATTTATTCACAGATGAAAGGGAGAGCTAAGATGCCCTCTGTCCTACCCTAGATAGGGTTCACTGAGCTGACTCCAGTGTGCCATCAGAAACCAGGCAAAAGAGAACAGTCTGCCTCTGTTCTTTTTTTTTAAAGTTCACATCTGCCCCTAGTCCCCAGAAGTCCCTGTTCAGGAAGTCAAGGAATAGAGTATGGAAAGTTTATCATTTTTATTTTTTATTTTTTTTATTTTTTTGGTGGGACCCTCGCCGGCGGCCAGGGAACAAACGGGTATTGCAGAGGCTGCGGGCAGCCAGGCAGCCCAGAGCTCAACCGCTGCGCCACCAGGGGAGGCCCGGAAAGTTTATCTTTTACTACAGAGTTAGCTCTGAGTGTCACGCACTGGCACGTGGCCAGATGCCCTCTGTCCTATCCTAGATAGGGTTCACTGAGCTGACTCCAGTGTGCCATCAGAAACCAGGGAAAAGAGAACAGTCTGCCTGTGTTCTTTTTTTTAAAGTTCACATCTGCCCCTAGTCCCCAGAAGCCCCTGTTCAGGAAGTCAAGGAATGGAGTATGAAAAATTTGTCTTTTACTACAGAGTGAGCTCTGAGTGTCACCCACTGGCTAGAATGTTGCTCCTCACCATTTCTCTTACAAAACCAATAATAGATTAATTACACTATTGTTTTAGGCAAAGGGAAGATGAAGGAGATAAAGAACAAATTTAGCTGAGGTTTATCTTTCTATGAGTTGGCTCCTAGTAGAGTCAGTCCTTGCAAGTTAAAGCTGCCAGTTTACATCCCCTGCTGCTAGGGTACATAGCTAGTGGGTGAGGACACTAGTATTGGCAGATGAGCTGTTCTGAATGTTATTACTTACATGGCTTGCGCCACTGCCTCTGAGGAGTAGCCCTGCCAAGGCAGGAACAGACGTCCCTCTTCTCTTCCTGAGTCTGCTTCACGGTTTACCACCACTACCAAGAGTAGCCTGGCCATGTATGGCAGGAGTAAGTGTGACAAGATCTTCAGAGAGCAATTTCTATCAGCAAAGAGCGTCATTGAACAGAGATAACTCTCTCAAGCGGCTAGTCAAAACTTTTGATTTTTAAAGTTTAAAAGTCCATCGGGGTCTCCCTGGTGGCACAGGGGTTAAGTCTCGGCACTGTGAAGCTATCAGCAGCCACTGTGGCACGAGTTCCATCATGGCACAGCAGACCTCTTGTCTTGTCCGCTGCTTCCTTCAGCAGTGTATTTTGGTGGATCCGCCTGTTCTGCTCCCCACTCTGTCTCTGCCTCAACCCGGCATTTCTGGCATATACCCCAGCTCTTGTATGCATAAATAAATCTTAAAAAAAAAATAAAATTAAAGTCCATTGCGTGATGTACACTACTGTCACTTACTATGTTGTCAATGACTTATTGGTCTTCACTCCACGTGTCCGAGTTGGATAAGGAAGTCCTAATATTCAACTTCAAAACAAGTTACTCAGTTAAGGTCTGAAACCATAAAATACACAGAAGAAAATAGGCAGTAACCTCACAGACATCACTCTTAGTGATGTTTCTATGGATAGGACTCCAATGGCAAGGAAACAAAAGCAAAAATAAATAAATAGGGCTATATCAAACTAAAAATCTGCACAATAAGGAAAACCATCATCAAAATAAAAAGGCAACCTATTGAATGGGAGGAGATATTTGCAAATCATGTATCTATAAGGGGTTAAAATCCAAAAAATATAAAGAACTCATAAAAATCAACAATAATTAAAAAAAAATGGGCAGAGAATCTGAATAGACATTTCTCCAAAGACAGAAAGATGGTCAATAGGCACAGGAAAACTTGGTCAACATGACTAAGTATTAAGGAACTGCAAATGCAAACCACAATGGGTTATTGCCCCACACAAATTAGAATAGCTATTATCTATAAGGCAAGAAATAAGGGTTGGAGAGAATGTAGAGAATAGGTAATCTTTTTGCACCCTTGGTGGTAGTGTGAATTGGTGCAGCCAATATGGAAAATAGTATGGTGTGTGCTCAAAAAATTAAACATGGAAATACCATATGATCCAGCAACACTTCTGGATATTTAACAAAGAATATGAAAACGCTATATGCACTCCTATATCCACATCAGCATTATTTACAATACTCAAGATATAGAAACAATCTAAATGTTCACAGAGGAGTGAATGATACAGAAAATACAGTATATATACAATGAAACATTACTCAGCCAGTTAAAAGATGAGCTCTCGCCATTTACAACACAGATAACCAAATTCTTAAGACAGAAAACAAACAAGTGGTTGCCTGAGGGAAGGGGAGGGGAGGAAGAAAGGCAAAATGGGTAAAAGGATCAATGATATGGTGATGGATGGAAACTTCTCTTTTAATGGTAAGCATACTATACTGTAAAAGATGCGGGTTTATAATGTTACATGCCTGAAACATACATAAAGTTCTAAACCAATGTTACCTCAATAAAGTTATTTAAAACAACTTCAAACCACAAAGAAATTAGTCCATAAAAAGCTTTCAAAACCTAGATTGAAACCATAACGAGTTAGGACACCCAAAAACGGATACTAGCTGCCTCTATTGTGGTAACTAACCATTTCACAGTACTTGTAAATCACACCATCATGCTTGATGGTTTGGAGTGTCTGATGGTATACAGTGCTGTATGTCAATTATTTCTCAATAAACCTGACAAAGATACAGAAATTGAAATTCTATGCAGGCGCCTGTGGTGGACAAGCAGTCAAAGGCCGCCTGCTATCGACTCACTGTCACCCCCAGAACAGGCCTCAGCGGCTTTGAGAACCCCCGCAGAAGCGGCTTCCGGGTGGACTGCAGCCGGGGGCGCCTGCAAGGGGGCGCCCGAGTCCCTATGGGGGGTTGCTACCCAGCACCGAGAGCCAGGGCTCCGGCACCCTCGGCTATCGGGCCCACCCTAGGGAGGTCGTGGGCGTCCCCGCCCCCTGGGGCTCCGCTGCCCTTCGGGGAATCGCTACCTACGGCCCCCCCCGCCCCCCCCCCTCAGCTCTCAGTCGGCAGCGCTGACGTCGCCACCCCGCCTCTTCGCCTCGCGCCGCCGTTCTCGCCCCGCCCTTTTTCCCGGCGTGCGCCGCGGTGAGGCTCCTCGCCTTCGGCTTTTGCCTGTCGCCCCAAGATGGCGGACACAATGAGCCGGCGCCGCGCCGGTTGGCCCTGAGGCGACGGTAAGGAGGAACAGTCGGCCAGGCCCAACAGTCCCGGCATTAGAGTGTTACCCGAGCAGAAGGAAGAAGAGAAAGAGGCGGCCCGACTGTCGGTTCTTCTCCCGCTGGCCGCCGGCGCGGCGCCCGCCCCGCCCGGGTCGGCCCCTCGGCAGCCAGCCCGCCCGCCCGTTTGCCGCCGGGCCCCGCCCCGGCCCTGCGCTGCCGCCGCTACCTCCAGCAGCCGCCGCCATGAAGCTTACAGACAGCGTGCTGAGGAGCTTCCGCGTCGCCAAGGTGTTCCGCGAGAACTCGGACAAGATTAACTGCTTCGACTTCAGCCCCAATGGCGAGACGGTCATCTCGAGCAGCGACGACGATTCCATCGTGCTCTATGACTGCCAGGAGGGCAAGTGAGTGCGGCGGGGGCGCCGGGCCTTGCTCTGAGTCCCTCCCTCCCTCTCTTGGCCCAGCACTCGCCCCGCGGCCCGCCCTCCGGCCCCCGTCCTATTTTGCACTTGCTCCTGCCAGGACCGCTTCTACTCTGAAACAGTCCAGGAGGCCTTTTCTTTTCTTTTGTTAAAGTAGTATTTTTTTATGTCTCCCGTCTCAGAGAGCGCTTCTGCATCTCACTGGAATCCCATCTTGACCTTGACCTTTAAACGCCCGGTCCGCCCACCCAGCCTCAGCAGTTGGCTCTTCCGCTGCTCTGTCAGAGGGGCCCGTCGGGTCTGGTTCCCGCGCAGAACCACAGAGGCTGCGCTCCTGCCTCACTCACTCAACAGTGTCAGCTCTCTCGGCCCTCTCCTCGGTGACCGCGATTCAGCCCTGGCACTCCGCCCATCCCCTGCCCCCTTCAGCTTCCCGCGGCCTTTCTACCGGAAGGCCGCGTGGGCTGCGTTTCGTAGCTGTCAGGATTTATTTGTTGTGCATCTGTGGGCTCCCTCACTCTTCCTTTCTCTTCCAAATCATTCTCTCACTCTCACGCCCAATGCCACGTTTGTAGTGAACTTTCAGACAATACCTGAAACTTCTTTTGCCAGACACAAACGAACTTGACCATCCCATCCGACCTAAATGTTCAGCTCCCATTAGAACAAAGAAAGTAGTTAACAATTTCGTGTTTCCTTTTATACTTTTTTCTTATTACACTTCTTGGTTCTCTGGAATTATCAGAATTCCGAGTGTGATCCTGAAATTAGTGTTCTCCCGAGTCCCGGGGCGACCCAACCGCATCTGCATTTCTTCAAAATTTTACAAGCTCAGCATTTTGCCTTTTCCCTGGGAACCCTGTCACAGGCTTCACTTCATCCCTGTGGTCTTTTCTCCGACTCCTGGCTATCTTGTGAACTCCTTTGGAGCAGAAACTGGTTTAAGTTAAATTTGATTTCCCTCAGCCACCTTCTGCAATCAGACCTGGGATGTTTGGTTTAATTCATTGTCTTCTGGTTTTGTCAGACTTCATTTTATTACCTAGTTCCAGATCTTATTTTTTAAATCCTTGGTTTTGTTTTTTTTTCCCCCCACATCTTCTGCAGCTGTTCATTTTACCATTTTTTTCCAGACTGATGTCTTCAATAAACTTTCTTTTGGAAGTTGTCTCTTCATTTAGTTATCTAAAGTAATGATGTTTTGGACTAAGCTATAATAGTCTTCCCCGTTTTTCCACTGGGATTATGAAAAAGTGTTATGTAAGTGGCTCTGGAGCTGCCTGCAGCATGTGGAAGAGTGGCCTGATTCATGGTCCTGGGGAAGAGACTTGTTAGCAGCATGATGGGGAGTTTCTTGAATCAGTGTTACTCGTTTTAATAGATGGGTATCAGTGCAATCTGGCCACTGAAATTAGTTTGGAAGAAAGGGTAGCATACTAAGCTAGGGTTTGGGCCTTGGAATTGTAAAATCCTGGGCCTAGAAGTAATTTGAAGTTGGCTGGCTTGAAATGTTTAGTGCTTAACCACAAACTGGAACTCCCTGGAATCCAAGTGTGGGAAGGTATATATCCTCATTCAACGGAAATTAAAGTTGTGGTAGCATTTATTCAGTTTGTCTTCAAATGTGACATAATGTCAGTTTGTTGGGAAGGATGACAATGATTTGCGGTCCTGTCTTATTAAAAAGAAAAATGTCATGATTTTATGAGGAAATGCAGTTTATTCACTTTTGTAGCATTTCACATGATTACAAACTTACAGAAAAGTTACAATCATGTTTCAGAGAACTCCCATGTGATCCAATAATTGGTTACTTTTTGCCTAGTTTCTTTATCATTCTCTGTAAATATTTATACCTCTGCATTTTTTAATCCATTGGAGAGTAAGCAGGAGGTATCCAGTTCTTTGATCCCTAAATACTTCATCATGGATTTCCTAAGCACAAGGACATTCTCTTATATAACCACGAAGTTATTCAAATTGGGAAATTTAATCTTGATACAATACTATGGGGCTTGAATTTTTAAATTTTGTGTTATTAGCTAATTGTGATTAATTTGTGAGTATAATTTCTGCGCTGTCATAAGGCAGCTCTCCTGCCCACCTGTGACTATGCAGGTACCTCTCTTTTTCGTTCTCCTTTTCCTAATAAACCTAGCCTTTTAAAATGTTCAAAAATTTTTTGTTGTGAGAGAATACCCTGGTTGTTAGGAGGCCTGGGTTCTAGTTTGACCTTGTGACTAGTTTTGTGACATTGGTCACATTACTTCTGGCTATTAGCCTCTGGGAGTCTATGGTTCTAAGCAGTAAATGTGAAAGAAAAGATTGCCGCTTTTCTAGTTCAAAACAACATTAGAAGAAAAGTAATGTTTTCTTGGAAAGCATGGTATTTTTATTAGATTATAGTAATGTTGGAATTTGGGGGTTTGAAATGGCCAAAACAAGTTTCTTTATGCTTCATATTTTCCAGTTTACTATTCATTTATTTTTTTTTTAATTTTTTTTTCTTTTAAAGATTTATTTTTTATTTATTTATTTATTTTATTTTATTTATACAAGCACTGGGTACAGTCAGAAGCGCGGGAAGGTGAGAGAATTCACCAGAGCCAGAGCGGGGAGCAGAGCAGGCAGAAGGACCGAAGTACACTGCTGAGGGGAGCAGCGGGCGGCAGGAGAGGTCTGCGCACCATGTGGGACCCTCCTCCGGTGGCCGGGGAGCAGCCGGGGATCGAACAGGCGCCGCGGAGGCTGCGGGCCGCTTCGCAACCCAGCGCTCAACCGCTGCGCCACCAGGGAGGCCCTACTATTCATTTAAATTTTCTCTATAGTGGAGTTCATCCATTAAGTGGTTTTTCAATTTGACAGATTATAAAGGCTATTGTCTGATGATCAGAATCATATTTTGTGAAAACTTGAGCAAAATATTTGTGAAAAATTACTGTGTGTGGGCTTTGTAAAGATCCTCTGAAATGGATAGAATACATTACGATTTTGCTTTCAAAATAAGAAATGAGGGCCTCCCTGGTGCCGCATGGGGTTAAGCACAGCACTGTGAAGCTATCTGCAGCCTCTGCAGCAAGAGTTCAATCCCCGGCTGGCCAGGGAGCTACCCACATAGCGCAGCAGACCTCTCCTGATTTGCCCTCTGTTCCCCTCAGCAGTGTACTTCGGTCAATCCACGTGTTCTATTCCTCATTCTGTCTCTGGTGAATCCTCTAACTCCCTGCACCTCTTGCCTGGACCCCAGTTCTTGTATGCATAAATAAATAAACCTTAAAAAGAAAACCAAGCTAGGAAATGATATAAGGAATAGATTTAAGTGGAACTAAATTTTCCTTTTATCACACCCTTTAACATGGGCTCTTCGGGCTCTATCTTTAGTAATATAGTTAGCCTAAAATACTGGGATAAGTAAACCTTTTTCCACTGGTAGGTGCGTATCAGCTATCAATTTAGAGCAGTCACAATGTACATGCTCTCTCTCACTCATTGACTCATTGGTGTACCACACGATAAACCCATGACAGAACTGAGGTGGTGACTTGACAAGATAGCCTTTGAGCCCATCTTTTTAGCTTATCTTTTAGCAAAGGTAAGACTGGAAAATTCACTACATTTGGAATGAGACGTCTTGTTTGGAAATAGAATTTATATAGGGAGACCCTTGACCTCACTGACAATAACAAAAATTGAAATTGCAAGTGATTGACTTCTTAAAGCTGCCTGAGTTATCTGATTATTTAGCATCCAGCGTCCAAGAGGATTTTACATTGAGAGAGTGAACTTTTTTTTTTTTTTTTAAAGAAAGATTTATTTATTTATTTATACAAGCACTGGGTACAGTCAGAAGCGCGGGAGGGTGAGAGAATTCACCAGAGCCAGAGCGGGGAGCAGAGCAGGCAGAAGGACCGAAGTACACTGCTGAGGGGAGCAGCAGGCGGCAGGAGAGGTCTGCGTGCCATGTGGGACCCTCCTCCGGTGGCCGGGGAGCAGCTGGGGATTGAACCGGCGCTGCAGAGGCTGCGGGCAGCTTCGCAACCCAGCACTCAACCGCTGTGCTACCGGGGAGACCCGAACTTTTTTTTTTTAATCAGAACAACAGTTGAAGGAAATCTTCCTACACTAAATGTAGGACATTATAAAGTTTTTGGTTAAAGATTTTGCTGAGATCAGTTTCAGCCTGATTTTCAAGGTTCTGTAGAGGAAAACATCAAGAACAAATGGAATAGTAACCTCCACTTGGAAATAATTGATTTTACATAAAAATAGAAAGAAAGAGCTAGTGACTAGTTTTGCTAGGGAGGGTTAGATTTGCCTTCTGAAATGGTCAGCAATTACTTTGCACCTGTAGGATAAAGGGGATGTATTTCTTCAAGAGCAGGTTATATTTAAAAAGTAAAGCAGTTTTACATCTTGTTTTATTTTTGATAAATCATTTCTTGAAGAATGAGCTGCTTTTAAAGTGAATGGCTAAAGTTCTGGCCTTGCTGGTACAGGTTTTCCTATATCCTGTAATTCATGATTTGTGTTGCTTTGTGTGCCTTTCTTTCCAAATAAATATTTTTCTCAAAGCTTATTTTTGGACATTATTTAGTAAAGACTGAATTGAAACCCCAGATTTACTTCTACTTCCTAACCTTGGCATTTGGTGTTCAGAGGCAAAAAGTCTTCTTAGGCAGCAGTTTGCACTGTATTGATTCCATTTGTTAACTCCCTTTTGGAAGAAATTCTAATTCCTTCCAGTGTTAGAGCTTACCAAGAATCCTCAGCCTTGCCACATTATTCAGGTACTTCTCTTTTTTATGTAGATTGCAGATTTTGGTTATGGAGGATTTTGATGGTTCTCTTTCTCTGTTCATTTCCTCGTCAGACCAAAGAGAACCCTGTACAGTAAGAAATATGGCGTGGACCTCATCAGATACACTCATGCAGCAAACACAGTTGTTTACAGCTCTAACAAAATAGATGGTAAGCAAACCTTCTTTTTGGGAAGTTATGGTCATTATTTCTGTCACTACTTCTGTTTTGGTTATACTTACTTTAATTTAAATATTTTCTTATGATGTTAGCATGCTAATTATATTGTTATGACTTAAAGTAGTGCTGGACAAAAGCCATAGTATTTTTGAGGGACTTGAAACCGAAGTGAAAAGACTCTAGTTTAGGGTGGAGAGTGGGATAGGGAGCAATGAATTTACTCATGGTTTATACTTATTGAAACTTGAAAGAATATTTTTAGAACAAATGAAAGGAAACAATACCCGAACCGGTAGTAAACAACAGTACCTTTCTGTTCAAAATATATAGGTTTGAAAAAAGTTTTCACAAATGTTCAAGTTATGGTAGTAGTGCAGAGGAACTGAGAAGAATTTTTGGTGGATGTACAACGTTTCATGGTCTTTCATAAAGGATAGTGTACTGACCTTAGGTTAATCTTTGATTCCAGGGATTTTTTTAAAAATCTGAATTATATGCCTTTTAAATGAAACTAATATCTTTGAAAAAGTTATTTTTTGAAATTGAAGTTATGAATTTCCTTTTCTAATAAAAATCTGTTTTTACCTCCATTTCCCCTGGGATAAATTATTTTTAGTTGGCAGATAATTTTGGTAATTGAGCTATAACATTTCATGTTAAGGTTTTGTTTTTTTTTTAACGTCACAGTTATTGATTTGTTTTCCTTTTTGTGGTAGATTTTTCTAATGTCATTCAACTAGGATTGCTTAGACTACTATTTTGACTAAGCCTATGATAGAACGGATGGGCAGAATCCATCTTTTTTAGATGAATAAGACATTCTGCCTGTGCTTGATTTTTAGTAAGTTTATCATTGTTATTTTTCATGCCTTTATTTCAGAAGTGGTTTTCAGTAAGCAGTACAGTTGATGCTTTTGGACAAGGATATAAAATAATACTAGAATTCTGAGGAAACATATCTATGTACTTATCTGAATGACTGGTATATTTCTTCTGTTGGGCTGTTTTTCTGGTTGATTAAATGAGGATTCTCCTAGTATGGTACAAGATGAGGCAAATGTGTGGCACTTGCAGCTTTGCTGCCAGGCCTCTGCTGTGAGGATGTTGGCTTTCCTGTCTCGAGTGCATCCTGAAGAGTCCCTCCAACGCTCCGTTTCCTTTTGCCTGATTCCAGGCTGAGGTAGTAGTTTGTACAGTTTGAGGGTCTATGATACCACCCGGTACAGGAGATAACTGTACAGGCCACTGCCTTGCCAGGAACAGCGCACCAGCTACTGAGTGGGGCGGAGAGGATGGTGAAGCCCTGCTCATCTCTGAGAAAACAGGTAATGGGAAGGAAGTCTTTTTTTCTGCATAGGGCAGGTGAGTAGTTCCTAGCACTAGAACAACTGGAAAGACTTTGTAGTTTTCATTCAAAAAGTTTGACAATATTTTCATGGAAAACCATGTAGAGCTCATTTATGGAACATAACAAAGGGTGCCCTTTTTCTTCTCCTAAGTAAATGCCTTCTTACTAGTACCCCTGTGAACCACTAGAATCATTTTGTGTTTTTCAATCTCTTTATTCCTGTGTTCTGTGTTCTGTTTCTGTTCTTTTTCCCAGCATTTTTTTTTTTTTAAGATTTATTTATTTATGCATACAAGAGCTGGGGTACAGGCCAGAGATGCGGGGGTGAGAGGATTCACCAGAGACAGAGTGAGGAACAGAATAGGCAGATTGACTAAAATATACTGCTGAGGGAAGCAGTGGGCAAGACAGGAAGGTCTGCTGCGCCATGTGGGTTTATCTCTGGCCAGCCGGGGATCGAACTCGTGCTGCAGAGGCTGCGGATTGCTTCATGGTGTGGTGCTTAACCCCTTGCGCTACCAGGGAGGCCCTGGATTTTTTTTTTTTTTTTTTTAAGATTTATTTTATTCATACAAGAGCTGGGGTACAGGCCAGAGGTACGGGAGGGTGAGAGAATTCACCAGAGACAGAGTGGGGAGCAGAACAGGCAGATGGACTGAACGCCCTTGCTGAGGAGAGCAGCGGGCGAGACAGAAGAGGTTTGCTGCGCCATGTGGGAATCTCCCTGGCTGGCTGGGAATTGAACCCTCGCTGCAGAGGCCACGGGCAGTTCCACATACTGCGCTCAACCTGCTGCTCTACTGGGGAGACCGTCCCCTGAATTTTGGCACCATTTCCAACAATTATTCTTGTTCCTAGTTTCCTTAGGGCAAAGTATTTCTTAGTTCTGTTATTTTGTTTCCCACTCCCCAGTTACCTTTTTTAACAGCATTTCAGTCCCTTGGCACCACCATCTTTTTTGTTTGTTTATCTGAAAAAGTTCAGAATCAAATATTTGGTATTTAAATGTTTGTCTTATTTTCACCAAGCACAAACCTCTCTGATTATTCCTTTCTTTGATATTGTTAACATCTACTGCTATGAATTGTTATAGTTTTTAGTTTCACTTTTAAATGTCTTAAGATCTTTTAACTCAATTTCCTTAATTCTTCTTTTGGCCAGTTTTTTAACTCAATTCTCTGATGCACAGGACAGGGTTAATTAGAAGACAAGCAGTTAAGACATTGCTTCTTTTCCCATTTTGTTTAGTTTTAATGCAAATTGTATATCCAGTTAACTTTCAGATGTGGGCAGGTTGGGTTGACATACTGTTGAATCACAAACAAAAATTTATGCCAATCCTGATCCTTAGCTTAGCATGGCTGCTTGCTTCTTTGAGTCATTTTCCTCAGCAGTGAGATGTTTTTCTTTAAGGCTTGCCATTCTGTGAGCACTTAAACTATTGTGGGTTTTGTTTGCGTTTTGTTTTCTTTTTTTGGCCAGGGTATATTTGTAAAACAAGTTGCATTATCACTGTGCAGCAACCAAAGATTAGTAGTGAAACAATGACTTTAAACATTGTTCTGTACACCGTCAACATCTCTGCTTTTGAATTATATCCACTGTTTAGCTGTGGAGACAAATTATTCACCATTACTTAATCACACCTTTCGTGGGTTATGGAAAACAATGAATTCTTTGACCTTTTCTTTTGTAGATGAAAATGCAAAGTAAATTTCTTTTTAAATGATAGGGTATGGTCATGCCTTATTTCTCTTCTTGCAGATACTATTCGTTACCTGTCCTTGCATGACAACAAATACATCAGATACTTTCCTGGACATAGCAAAAGGTAAGACCCAAGTGTTGAAGAAATTAATAAGTCGTTTTGATAGGGTTTTTTGGGTTTTTTTAAATCCCTGGTTATTCAGAAAATTGAAAAGTGGAGAGATTTTATTAGTGGACTGAAGCTATTTCCTTACTGCTATTAACATTCTTAAGTCACTTGTGAACCTTCCCTTAGCTGAGGCTGAGGCTCTGGAAACAGAGGTAGGATTTCATAGATAAACCAGACCAAAATCTCAGTTAAAACGTAATAGAACAAGGGGCCTGGTGGTGCAAGGGGTTAAGTCTCAGCACTATGAAATTATCGCCAGCCACTGCTGCCAGGGAGCTGACCCACATGGCACAGCAGACCTCTCCTGTCCCGCTTGCTGTTCCCTTCAGCAGTGTACTTCAGTAGATCCACCTGTTCTGCTCCCCATTCTGTCTCTAGTGAATCCTCTCTCACCATCCCCCCACCCCGCACCTCTGGCCTGGATCCCAGCTCTTGTATGCATGAATAAGTAAATCTTTTAAAAAAATTAGAACAAAATGTAGATTAAAGGGCCTCCCCGGTGGCGCAGCGGTTGAGCGCTGGGTTGTGTAGCTGCCCGCAGCCTCTGCAGTGCCAGTTCGATCCCCAGGTGCTCCCCGGCCACCGGAGAAGGGTCCCGCATGGCGTGCAGACCTCTCCTGCTGCCCTCTGCTCCCCTCAGCAGTGTACTTCGGTCCTTCTGCCTGCTCTGCTCCCCGCTCTGGTGAATTCTCTCACCCTCCCGCGCTTCTGACTGTACCCAATGCTTATATAAATAAATAAATAAATCTTTAAAAAAAAAATGTAGATTAAAGATACTCAGTAAAACCTGTGTAGTAAAAATTACATTGGACATTTAGAAATCCCAAATATCAGCTGTCCCTTAATGAAAGGACCATTTATTTGTATGAGGCCTAGGCCTTTCGGTATAGGTTATCTCTATTTCATTAGCCCTTGCTCTGCATAACATGTTCCACGTGAACATCTTGAGGATATAAAAAATAAATAAATAAAATTGTCCTATGTTACATTTGAAAGTAAAGAAGCTTGTTTCCTTGTTCCATTTTGTAATGCCGGTTGCTTCTCTCCTACTCCAATTCTCCCAGTACTTTTTCCCCAGTATTTTTTTCAAATTTGGTTAAAGTCATCTCCTACTTTACCCTCCTCTCCCCCTTAAACCTTGGGTGATAATTTAGTCACTTGGAGCATTTCTTCCTTTCCTTTGCAAATGTACGGTAACCCATTGCAGCCTGGAATGGTACAGAGTCATGACAGATGGGTTGAGAGTACCCTGTTTTTGTCTGTTCTTCTGATTGGGCAGGGCATTTCTGTGTTGCTAAAGATAAAAGCTGGCAGCTGATGGTTACTCTGTAGTTCCAGACAAAGAATGGCTTATGACAGGTAGATGTTTTTGCTTATTTGTGGTCAAATTAATATTCACAAATGTGCTATCTGTAATTCAGAATTGATTGCAGTTTGAATTCTTTCCAATTTTTCCAATTATCCAACCTCTTGACTTCCTAATACTTAGTAGATGATTTTGTCCTCCTTTTTGGAGAAAAGTCACTCAAAATGAGTACTTCTCAACTTTTTCCTTCCACCTAAATACCTCTCTTTCTTAGGACTTTTTGTTGGCTGCCTGCAAATTTACTTGGTTTTCTCTATTTTAAGTCTATTTCTTAAGTCGATCACCCACCCATTTTTATTGTCAAACGTGTAGGAACAGTCTGCACAATTCCATCTCTTAATTCCTCATATTCATTCATTGTTTAAATCACTCTTGGTCTAGTCCCAAAATCATCTATAGAACGTTTTCCAAACCCTTTTACTTCCCTTTCCCTGTTGCCTCGAGTTCATATTACTGCCTTGGACTTTTTTGGGGTATTCAACTTCAGTAAAATTTATTTTTTCCTTTGGTAGCTGACTTCACATCTTGGTTGTTCTTGCTATTCTTGGCCTTTCTTTCTCCTCTTGGTTCTAAAATGAACAAAGTTCTACCCTAGCTATTTTCCCTATCTTGGCATTTTCTCAAATATCTCCATCACTGATTTCATTCAGTTCTACTTAGATGGCTTCCCAAATCAATATTTTTAGCCCATGTCTGTCATGTTTCCAGACTTACCTTCTACTTACACATTTACACAGATGTCTCTTCTGTGCCCCCATTGGACAAATTCAGCACCCCATCATTATTAGATCTCTTTTTTTTTTTTTTTTTTTTAAGATTTTATTTATTTATTTATGCAAGCACTGGGTACAGTCAGAAGCGCCAGAGGGTGAGAAAATTCATCAGAGCCAGAACAGGGAGCAGAACAGGCAGAAGGACTGAAGTACACTGCTGAGGGGAGCAGCAGGCGGCAGGAGAGGTCTGCCCGCCAGGTGGGACCCTCCTCCGGTGGCCGGGGAGCAGCTGGGAATCGAACCAGCGCTGCAGAGGCTGCGGGCAGCTTCGCAACCCAGCGCTCAACCGCTGGGAGGCCCCATTAGATTTCTTAAGCCAGTTACTTAGCCTGCCTCATGTTTCTCATCTGTGTTGCTTCCACTTTCCTGGACTCAAAGCCTCTTGTCAAATTCCCCTTACCTTTCACAATCCAGTGAATTGTTAAATCATATTAATTCTACCTAGGTTTAACTTCGTGTGTCACTGTCTTCCATATTCACTACTTTGATTCTCCCCTGGCTCATGCTCTGTTAGGTGAGTTATTGTCAAATCCTAATTCATCTCATTGTCCTAGTTCAGTACCCTGTAATGGAGTTCTGACCACTCAAACCCCTCCCTCAGAAAGCTGTAATGTTTTTCCTGAGCTGCCTGTTCCTTCCCCTTGGAATCAGGTTCTGCCCCCTCTGGCTCTGACCCATTATCCCAATGTTAATCTCCCACCACTCCAATTGAAGTGAACTCTATGATGCTTCCTGAACATAGGCCTCATACCTTCCTGTCTGGCACCTTCTAAGAGGCATCTTCCATTGACACCCTGCACCACAGGTGCAGCTCCCAGGAAAATTTTGATACTCTTTTGGAATTGTCTGGACTAGACCATTAACCTTACAAGCACAGAGGTGCTTTTCTTCTTATTCCCTGTACTTCTCAGTATAGAGTCTTGTGCCAAGGTAGACTTCTGAGCTCTTGGCCTGAATAACATCGCATAAAATTACCTATCCATGTGCATTCTGTATACTTTATGTTAGCTCATCATTACTAGGACAATTTGACTTATAGTATCTCAAAGTTTTTTTTGTTTTGTTTTGTTTTAAAGATTTATTTATTTATTTATACAAGCACTGGGTACAGTCAGAAGCGCGGGAGGGTGAGAGAATTCACCAGAGCCAGAGCGGGGAGCAGAGCAGGCAGACTGACGAAGTATACTGCTGAGGGGAGCAGCGGGCGGCAAGAGAGGTCTGCGCACCATGTGGGACCCTCACCCGGTAGCCAGGGACTGAACCAGCACTGCAGAGGCTGTGGGCAGCTTCGCAACCCAGCACTCAACTGCTGGCCACCGGGGAGGCCCGTATCTCAAAATTTTAAGTTGAGGAACTAGTGCAAATGTAAGTTACATATATTGGAGAAATATATTTTTAGGCAGAACCTTTATTTTTAAGAGAAAAGATAAATTTTTTCATTTTCTGTTCTCAGCATAAATTTCAATTCTTCAGAGTGGAACCAAGCTCTAAATCCCTTTTCCTGTCATTCCAAACTTGAACTTCCTCTATTTCTAGATTTAGAAATAGATTTAAAAGAAAAAAAATTCATTCACATTTGAACTGTGCAATTTGATCAGCTTTTTGACTTCAAAGTCTTTTCTATGTTGAAATGAAACAGTACAGCACCAACATTTCCTCTATAATCTTCATCTGTGATATCAGCTACTACATCTTTGAAGTGTTTTGCAGCCAAGCCAGAATGTGGAACTATTCTTCCATAACACTAAGAAGGAAGAGTTCTTGGATCATAATTCTGGGAATAGATCCCAGCAATCTGTGCTTTAACCCATTCTCTAGGTGCTACTGATTGTCTGTCAGGTTTGAGAACATTGGTTATAGCCCACAAACCTCAAGTTAAGGAATCATGCTATTTTGGGAGATTATTTCTCATTTTTGGCTGTTGTGAATAATGCTGCCATGAACTTAGGCAAGCATTTTTGTGTGGACATTTTTCTTGTATGCATATGCATGTATATAGCCCAGAACTTAGCCAGTACATTGGGAGTGAGGCCTGAGCATCTGTATTTCTAACACACTCCTAGGTGAGTGTTAGACTGCTGGGAACCACATCAAGAACCATGGGCTTGTGCTAATAGAACTGTATTTCTGATAGGGGTCTCCTTTTATGGTTGTATCATCAAGAGTAGCTCACTTAAAAGCATTTCTTCCAAGAGCTCTCTTGTCCCCTCTACTCCTGTTCTTGCTCTGCCATGGCCTGTACTGAAGACACTGCCATCTCCCCAGCAAATGGACCTGGCCTACTGAGAAGGTCAGATGGCTCCCCTTTGCCTGTATGGGAGCATGCAGTATGCATTTGCATACATACATATATGTGTATGTATACATATACATATACCTGGGAGTGGAATTTATGGGTTATATGGAAACTTTAACTTTGAGGAACTGTAAAACTCTTCCATAGCAACCATACCATTTTCCATTCCTACCCAACAGTGTGTGAAGGTTCCAGTTTTTCCATATCTTCATCAATACTTTTTACCTCTCATTTTGATTACAGTGTTGCTAGTTGGCATGAAGTGGTATCTCAAGATGGCTTGATTTTTATTAGAGTTGTACATTTTTATGCTTTAGTTTTTTTGTTTTTAAGATTTATTTATTTATTTATACAAGCACTGGGTATAGTCAGAAGTGCGGGAGGGCGAGAGAACTGACCAGAGCGGGGATCAGAACATGCAGACTGACGAGGTACACTGCTGAGGGGAGCAGTGGGTGCGGCAGGGGAGGTCTGCGCGCCATGTGGGACCCTCACCGGTGGCCGGGGATAGAACTGGCGCTGCAGAGGCTGCAGGCAGCTTCGCAGCTCAGCGCTTAACCGCTGTGCCACTGGGGAGGCCCTATGTTTTAATTTTAAGTTAAATTTTTTTCATTATAATAGTTGTCTTTGATTATTCCAGATTGTTTGTGTATGTGTATTTCTTAAAATGACAGTTTGGGGGAGAATAGGGTGTGTGTGTTTGTGTATGTGTGCGTGTGTGTGTGACAGTTTGGGGGAGAATAGAGTGTGTGTGTGGAGAATTGTGTGTGTGTGTGTATGCGCGCGCGCAGGAAGAAGGATTTAGTATTCCTTCTCAGTTTTTACAAATATTTTGCTTCAACTCCTATTTTCTGGCATCATTGCAGGGTGGTGGCCTTGTCCATGTCACCTGTGGATGACACTTTCATTTCTGGGTCTCTTGATAAGACCATTCGACTCTGGGATCTCCGGTCTCCTAATTGCCAGGTAAAGTACCTCACAATTACACTTCCAGTGTTTTCTATAGTAATCACTATCATCAACTCTCACTCTCAGGAAGGGGAAAACAGTGGTTCCATTCTGAGATCCCCGAGTCTTTTTAAACTTCAAGAGGAAATCTTTTTCCTGGTAGGTAGCTGGTAATTAAGCAAATAACTTTAACCAGTGCATACTGCCTTATGCTGCTCTGTGGCTTGTTTTAAAAACCATTCTCTTAAAATTCAGTGTCTATAAAATTGTAGAGTTAGAGATGATCTGAAATCAGTTTTATGGGGACCTATGTTTTTTCAACCTTAGTTTTATGGTCACTTTTTCCATTCTGTAGGTAGGTTTGTATCTGTGTCTTTTCTGGTTGTATCATCAAGAGTAGCATTGTATCATCAAGAGTATAACATTGGGAGAAGTGTGTTATATACTGGTAGGGATCATTAACTTTGTGTCTTTTTTCTTTTCTCTTAGGGCCTCATGCATCTACAAGGCAAGCCAGTTTGTTCTTTTGATCCAGAAGGGTTAATTTTTGCTGCAGGTGTTAATTCAGAAATGGTCAAACTTTATGATCTTCGCTCTTTTGATAAGGTAAATCTTTGAATATTTGTGCTATCTTGATGTTATGGAAGTTTTGAAGGGTGAGTTGGACATGTAAGAGTCTTTTCTATAGTGGAGGGGCAGTCTCTGTAGATACTAGAGCATGCCAGAGCAATTCATCCCCATTATCCTTACTCAAAAAAAGGACTCTAAAGGTATAATGAGAGTTGGCTCTGGCAGAAGGAATTGCTGGTTTACCTTGGGCCTGAGGCTGCTATTTTTATCTTTTGTAGGGGCCATTTGCGACCTTTAAGATGCAGTACGATAGGACTTGTGAGTGGACAGGACTTAAGTTCAGCAATGATGGCAAACTCATCCTCATTTCTACCAATGGCAGCTTCATCCGTCTCATCGATGCTTTCAAGGGAGTGGTGATGCACACATTTGGGGTGAGCCGATAACCTTTTTTTTTGTTTTTTGTGGGACCCTAGCTGACGGCCAGGGAATGAACTGGTGCTGCAGAGGCTGCTGGCAGCCTCACAGCCCAGCGCTCAACCGCTGCGCCACCAGGGGAGGCCCTGAGCTGATAACCTTTGAGGATAGTTATTTCCATGCTTATACCTCCTGGCCTGGGGATTGTGTTAGCATACTGATGGAAACTATAGTAGTTTATCCTCAACTCACTTGGATTTTGTTCCTGCACATGAACTTACCTCCTTTGGATTCTGGCTTTTACTCAGTGACCCAAATCTGGTGTTTCGACATAAAACATTTTCTTTGCCCTATGAATATGCAGTTGGATAAAGGAATGAATTGTAAAGGGTAGTTGCAGAAGTTGGAACTTTGGTGGCGCTATGCATGAGGGAAGGATTTCATGGAAAGGAAGGTGATACACATGCTGGGACAGTGTTTCTAGGCAGTTCTTTTTTGTTAATGGCCCTGTAACAAGAGAACTGTTGTCGTCTTTTAGGGTTATGCGAACAGCAAAGCTGTCACACTGGAAGCCTCTTTTACTCCAGACTCCCAGTTTATTATGATTGGTAAGCTTCTCTTTATTCCCCTTAAGGGTTATTTCCCTCGTACTGTGCATTTTTTGTATTGATTTTGTTAGCTTTAACTGTTACTACTCTTTTGATAGATACTCTCAGATCTCTGGGTAGCATATTATGCTGATTTTGCATTTCTTTACTGGGCCTGGACCTTTAATGTTGGTCTTCCCCTAGACCAGCAATAGAGTCAAACTCTGTAAGCACTCTTAGTAGTAATACTAACTCTCTGGTATAATCCTGCATTCAGTTGTCTTAGTGGTAGTGGCTAGTGGAAGGATAGTGGTACTCAGCTCCCATTTTAAATGAAAAGAAAAAAAAAAAAATGAAGTTAGAGAGGAAGTGATTTGCCCAGGAACAAATAGCAAATAAAATCAATTTGCTACGTCTCTTTTCTTCACTACCATCTCCTCCTATCAATTTCTACTGAGGGCTAGGTCCTGAAGCTTGGTCTTACTCCAGATGTCAATCCATGTCTCTTTTCTACTTGTATTTGTATTGTGCTTTGAGTTGTATTTTCTTTGAATATTTTCTTTAGGTTCAGAGGATGGCAAGATCCATGTCTGGAATGGAGAAAGTGGTATAAAAGTAGCTGTGTTAGATGGCAAACACACAGGCCCTATTACCTGTTTGCAGTTTAACCCCAAGTTCATGACATTTGCCAGCGCTTGTTCCAACATGGTATGTGAACAGTGGGAGATGTCCTCCACCTAGGGACCCTTTCCATTTGAGGTGGTGGTATCTTAAGGAGCACAGCAAGCTGTGTTTTAACCAGGTTCACCCAAGTTCATGCTTTTTAATGGGTGACTTCCCTGTTAATCTTCTAATATCTGACCTATAATTGGACTAGTCTTTCACTTTTATTCTTCTTTCCATGATCTGGGATACTTCTGATATCCCTGGGAATATCTGGAATACTTCTGATATTCCCTGGTGAATACAAACCAAGTTTTTGCTCTGGCCTTTGGTTTTATATCCAAACTACCTGGGGCCATGCTTGAAAATGCTTTGAATCAACTTTTTGAGTTGTATCCTTTTAATTTTCTATTCTTCTAACTTTATGCCAAATTCCTTAGAAATTCTTCGGATGGTTATTAAAAAGAACTTACTAAGAATTTCCACCAGGCCCTTTGTCTCTTCCTAGACAACCCAGCAGAACACAGCATCAGGGAGCCTCAGACTCCAGTTTCCTCATGGGTATTCAGGGATGAGAGATTTCACTACTAGCCTAACCAGAACATGTTGTGCTCTCCCACCCCACCTCATTTTTTAAACTAAGAAAATACTGTCAGAGCAAAAATGAAACAAAACCATCTAATCCAATCCCTCATTTTTTACAGCTGATGGATAAAAGGGATTGTCTGAGATTACCTAGTAGATGAGCACTGAGGTTACCCAGATACCTACCTACTGGACAGCACCACTTTTTTCTTTACTCCAGGGTCACTGTGGTAGAAAGAAAACAGAACCAGCTTCATGCAGAGATGGGGATGTTTCTGCTACCACAGATTGCCAGAGAGGGTTGGAGGAGGGAGAACCACCAGTCATCACTCTTCTGCCTTTGGCGTTAGATACCTTGATGCTATGGGGGGAGGGGAGGGGGCTAAGAAGAACCCTCAACAGTGAGTAAGAGGCTTTTTAACGTTGACTTATGTTCTTTCCAGGCCTTCTGGTTGCCTACCATTGATGACTGACCCTGATGTTGCTCGGCTGTTTCAGTACAGTGAGGGTGGCCAGCAGGAAAAAACTCAGAGGGAACTGAGATAATCGTGGGATTGGATCACTTGACTGAGCATCCTTCTACATGGCCTTCCCATGGATATGCTGTACATCTGCTAAAAGAAAAAAATAACTTTGCCGAGCTGCTACAAAAGGACTCTAGGTGCGACGGTTTCGTTTGGGACTCAGATTTTCCAGCTCTCATTGCACCAAGCTCCTCCAGAGGAGTGACCAGACTCATGATTAGGGTATAGTGGGGCCCTCAAGACGCCTTCAATTTTGAATGTATTTGCTGCTGAGGAGCTGGTGAAGTTGTTAATTCTGCACATCCCTCCCCCACCCCATAAATGCATGGGAAGCCACAGTTCTGGTTTTGAGATGCTAAGGCAGCTCAGAGCCCCTTGCCCTCACCCTGCATGTCTTGTTACTGGGTCTCCCTGTGTCATTGTGGCATTACTCCACAACCATCATGTTACTTAGGTGCCAAACATTTACAGAAGTAAGTCTTCATATATCTTGGGGTTATAAAGGAACAGGTACAGAAAGACCTTGCTCGCCAGAAAACCTTGCAAGTTAGTCTGTGAGGGTGGATAATCTGGGCATGCCTCAGGCTCTAGGTATGGAAGGGGAAAAAGCCTAAGAGCCTGAAGGGAGGGAGGGGTAGCAAATGAGTTCCTAGGACTGGGAGGCTTAGCAGCAACCTAGAGTGGTCCCTTACCATCAAGATAGACCCTTGGTCCTCCTAGGTGCCTATGGAGCTTGGTTTTGTACAAAAGTGCGGTGGGAGTCTATTTTGTACATGAGATACATCACGCTTTCCTGTGGGCCAGTATTGTAAAGTAAGTCTGAGTTGTTTACACTGATGCCTTCCCTGCCCACCACAAATTGTGTACATAAGCTCCAAATAATACCACCCCTTCCCTAGCTCTCAACTAAGAGCTGACTCTAGGCCTGTGTTATATGTTATATTTAGCCTTTTTATATATGACCTGGAATTCTGTTGTTTGTATTTTAGCACAGTGTGTACACCTTCGTTCAAATATATCTATGTGTGCATACATATGTGTATATGCATGTATGCATATATAAATATATATATTTAAAAAGATCTCACTTCTCAGAGTTCAGCTGAAGGAGATGGAGTCCTGCAGCCCAGGAGAAAGACTGCATCCTTGCCAGTAGTATTTGCCACAAGTGTTAGTTTGTCTTCCCTATAACCTTTTTCCCCTTTGGGAGACTAAACGAAGCAAAGCTTCAAGTGTTTTCTATTCTCATGGCAGCTAAGGGTCCTGGAATAACTCTGTTGTGTTCCACAAGCCACACTTTGGGGCCCTCTCTGCAGTATTAGCCCCTTTCTTGCCCAGTGATGCTCTGTCTGCGCCTATACGTACATGTGTCAGTCACTTTGCATGCCTTTTGTGTCTGGTTTACGGCATTTGGGGGACAGGATGCTGGGACCCAGAGCATTTTCAGTTTGTGTAAGGCTTCTGTGCCACCCTGTTTACCCAGGATGTCTGCTTTCTTTTCCTTGGCTTTTCCAGGGAGAAAAAGTGGTTTTGATCAGGGTTGAGATGAGCAACAGTCTTCTCTTCCCCTGTGAGGCCTTCTTAGAGCAGAATAAGTGGCATGCTATTTCTGTAAGTTTCCAAACGTTTAAGCAGATCCAGAAACAGGCTCAGCAAAGTTAGGGCCTTCCCGGGAGTATGTATGTGTTAGTGAAAAAGGAAACTTACTGCCTCTGTTGAGAAGGAATAGGCTATGAATTGCTAACAGTTTTTTGTCTCATTTTGGACTTTAGCAATTTTTTTATTTGTTCCTCAAACTTAAAGGGCAAGAGGCATATACCTTTCTCAAATGTAGATTGGCAGCTGCAGCTTCTGTGGTGCCACCCATGATACAGTGGGCTCTAAAAGTTGGAGGGACTTTCAGAAACCAAATGATCTGAGCTGTTACTGCTCACTCCTGGCTTCCTGATACAGAAAATTCATAGTAGGAGTAACTTCAGAGAGAGTGCTTATAAAACTGGGCTAACAAGGAAGGCTGCATAATTAAACATATCTGCAACCAGAGTGGCCACCAAGCATGACTTGCCTGTCAGCAGGAAAACTACTAGTATTGAGTCCCTATGTGTTGAAAGCTGAGGCACCACATCCTTTGGAAATATGCACTGTGTGACCTCTTTATGGGACCTGTGGCTGCAAAACTGACTCCTGAGTTGGGAAGGAAAGGGAAAAGATACAGCTAGAAGTGACCAGAGATGATGTGGTGGGAATAAAGTAGAATAAAGGGAGAAAAGAGGTTGTGGCTAGAGAAGCTGAGGGCCAGGGCTGCAGGGATACCCTCAGTGGGAGCCAGAGGTGCTCAAGCACTCTAAAGGGGTAGGGGAGGGCTGCTCTCCACACTCAAGCATCAGGGCCAAAGCTACAGATTTTTATGTGACACTGCACTGCTCAACCACCAGCCAGTGAGGAATTTCTTGTTTTTAAACCCATTGTAATCATAATTCTCAGTGAAAAAAGTTTAGGAGTTGTAAGAGGAATCAGTTTGCCACCCAAATGCTACCACTATAATCTTTTTTGGTGTTAAATGTTCTTCTAGGTCTGTGTATAGACTTTCAGTGTGTTTACATAGTTGTTATTCTATTGTATATACAATTTTATGTCTCTTTTGTACTTAACATATAAACATTTTTTCCATGTTATCGGTCTTAAACAGAATTGTCCAGCTATAACCTCTTCCATTGAACTTACAGAGCATCGTTTGGTTTCTAGAGTTGGTGGGAGGGATGGGTAAATCCTCCTGGCTCACAGTGGGATTCCCTGTAATGCCAAATGGGTGAATTTTTGGACTTCTGATGCTGCTCCCACCTGTCCTTGTGACTAAGGCTGGTGCACGATGAGGAGAAACCCTAGACCCAGTCCTCAACACGTAGCAGCCTGGACCTCCTCAACCCATGCTCTAATAAGCTGTCATAGGCCAGAAAAAATTGACTAGGACAGGCCAACCCAAGCCAACCTTGATCTTCAAAGACTGCATCTGGCATATATTTCAGGCTGCCTTTCATGTCCCACTGTTCTCAACCCTTGATCAGATTGGTAGCCTCTGGCTAAGATAAGGTTGGTTCTGCTAGGCCCTGGCTTCTTGGGAACAAGGGTAGTTGAGCCTCTGAGGCTTCTGCACAATTTTGGCAGAAGTCCTGGTCCGTTGGTTGATAACCCACTGTCCAGCCATGAGTTGTTACTTTCCTGCCTCTTGCTTGGCCCTCCCTGAACCAGAGATGAAGACAATCTTGGGCTGGCTACTTTGCACCATGGTCATTGGAGGTTGGCCAAAAGTTCTGAAGGGTGGTAGAGGGAATATCTCAGCTTGTGAATTGCAGGCCACGTGTAGACTCCTGTCACACTGCTCCAGGAAAGAGTCCTTACTACACCAGCCCCCTTACTGCCTGAGGGCTGGTGTAGGGTTTGGCTCTGCTGAAAGTAACACATAGGTCAGTATGGCTGCCCTGCAGTGGCCACTCCCTATCGGCCTGCTCACATTTGAGACCCACCGCACCCTTTCCCAGGCATCTGCCTTCTGTGAGGAGCAAAAGCAAGCAGGTGGGCTGTGGGCGCAAGCTGGCTCAGCAGTTGGTGTGGGGGAGAGCCAGGCACAGGATGCTGCCCACATTTTGCTGGGGTGTGGGGCGGAAGGGAGGAGATTGCTGAGGAAGAAGGAAGTAAAACATCTAGGCTGCCTAACTAGCCCAGTAAAACTCTTGCATTTCCTAGCTGCCTAAGTAGAGTTCTGGAGGGGCTGCCCAAGGTTTCTGAGGCCAGCCAGTTGTCAGGACCTAGTATGGACACATCTATAAAAGCCCAGAAATGCGGGGCTTTGGAAAATGAGAATTTTTGTAGTTTTTTCTCTCCTCCCTAGAGAACACATAAGAAAGGGGTCCAAAGTCTACCCAGTGGGTGAGAGATGTTTTACTCTGGATTCTGGGACCCATGGTGCTCTCCTTCCTGGCTGCAGTACAGGGCATTGAGTTGCCTGGAAAACCATTCATTTCAGTTGTAAACTAGAAGTGGGTCAGGGAAGTCAGGTAAGGCTGAAGTCAAAGAGATGGTTGCCTTCTAATTCAAATACTTGAGCATCTGAGCCTTGGCAAGTGCTAGATTCTAAGTCTTGTGGGGAAGATGAAGAACTAAGCTCTTCAAACAGCAAGCTTCAGAGGCTCAACTGATTGGTCTCCAGCTGAGACTAGCTTCATAGAAATTTGCACCCAAAAACAAGTTAAAAGACAGCCCTTCTGGTACTTCCAGACCAGAGCTCACAGGTGGTGGAGGAGACCCCTGTTCTGTTCTCAGGGCAGCAGTTCTCTCACTGGGGCTCACCATCAAGCTGGGAACTAGAGAGGTCGCAGAGAAAACAGTCCTGGCTATGCAATCTTGCAAGGCAGAGCTTAGCCCAAGTCTTTGGAAGGTAACAAGAAAGCAAAAGGTGTACTGTAATGCCAAACTACAAAAATTCACAGTTCACAAAGGCTCTTCTGCACTCAAGGATTTAATAGCAGAGGTGATGAGCAACAAAGCCATTGCTGGGACATCAGCCTAGGGCGGGACTGGGTACGATCTGAGCGCATTCCCCACTCAAGCCATCCCCTCTTGCCCCGAGTTTAGCCTTACAACCTGTGCTTCTCTGAGGCAAGTGGACCAGGGCAAGACCTGAGCTGTTCTCTCCTCAGGGGCTGCTTCAAGATGGCTGTTCAGATGTGAGGCTACCCACACCTTTCCATAAAGCACCCTGCGTGGGCTTTGGCGGGTGTTGAGTAGGTTCTCTGACACTCACGGACTGGGGGCCTGGATCCAAACACAGGCTCTCTGTCCCTCCTGACCTCCTTGGCTAATATTCTTAGCCTGCGTGAACCTGTCTGGGAATAATATATTGGGCTATTAAGGATTCTGTCTGAGGAGTCTCGGTGGGTTTCCAAAGTTGTAAAAATGCCCATGCCAGAGGGATGTTACCAATAACATCCTTCTTTTCCCACCTGCCAAAGGAGACCTAGCGAGCTAAGCTCTCCACCCTTCCAGTTCTGACTTCCTGGTATAAATGCTCCCCTTAAAATGGGGTTGGGGTGGAGGAGGAGAACCTTGTGTGTCTGGGGGCAGAGTGCTGTTGCCCAGGATGGAGAGGTGCCCAGGCAGGACCAGGAGTGGTTCTTGGATGCAGTGTCGGAATCCTCTCAGTGGCCAAGGCTCTGTTGGCCTTGGCTGTGCAAGGGAATCACGAACACAGAGATGTCGTCGTAGGATACCTGCCCTTCCCTTGTGGGACTGTCGTCCTTCCCCTGTGTGCTGTGTATCAGCATTTGGGCCAGCTCCGAGAACCTGTGGGAACCATCCTGCAGATGCCTTCAGGGGCAGTGCAAAAGGCAAGGCCATCCATCCCTCGGGGAGAAGCTGCTGGTCGGGGCTGGACTTTTGAAGACCCCGGCAAAGTAGTCTGATAGGGGCCAGGCAAGCTCGAAGACTGAGAGGGCTACAGGAGTCAACCCAAAGATTTTAGGACCCAGTCACCCCCAGAAGCTTGAGACAGCCCAGATTCTGGCCAGCTGCCCTGAGCCAGACTCCTCATCAGTACTATCTTCTCAGCCATAACAACTTGGTGTTACGGTGGCACCAACCCAGACATTGGCATATTCCTAGCAGCTATAGTACCTGTGAGGGTCCTCACGGTTGCCAGGGAGGAAGCTCTGTACCAGCCGTGCCACTTGCTCATTGGATAGGACGTCCCAGAGCCCGTCAGTTGCCATAACAACCACATCCTCCTCCTGTAGCTCCAGCTGGCCCACATCCAACACTGTTACCTGCAAAGTCAAGCCTGAGGACCCTCAGGACTCCCTTCCCAGACCCCACCAGCCTCCTCATCTGCCTTTCTGGGTAGATGAAAGCTGGGTGGGCTGTTACACCCTCACCTGTGGGACAGAGAGCAAGAAGGGCTTGAGCTGGATGTTTGTGTCCAGGACTGTGAGCTGATGGTCTCCTAGGCCCCGGGAAACGGCCAGTGTTCCCAGTAACCGAGCCTGGGGACAAGGGAGGTGTGAGGTGACAGCAAACAGCCCCAGCAAATGCGTAAGCAGAGGACAAAGAGGGAGGCCGCTACGCCCTTGGGAACCCCAGGCTAAGGAAGAAACACCCTGTGGGCTTGGAGCAGATACTAGGACACCAGCCATGGTCCAGCCCAAGGCACAAAGGGGAAAAGAAGAGGGGATTGTTCACTGACCTGCCTACCCTGTCCCTGGATCAGGGGGTACTTGAGATCCGACTTGTCCACGCACTTGTAGCTCCTATCAGGGGCAGACCCAGCATCGACCGGGGCCCTTCTCACCTCATCCCTCCCAACACAGTGCCCACCCCGCCGAGGTGAGAGGAGACTGCCCCAAGGCTGGCCCTCCCCACTGTGTCCCCACATTCCACTTTGCTCACCAGCCACTCATGTGGTGATCCCGGAACAAAACTTTCTGCCCCAAGTCATCCACCTTCAGCCTTCGAGGAAACTCCAACCGGGTGAACTCACCAGCCAGAAGCTCAGGGTAGACAAAAGCCTGGGGTAGGGAGGACATGCTCAGGTCATGCTCCCTCTGGTGGCCCTGGACCTGTGAATTGGAGCTCCACAGCTTCCAGCTACCTAAGGTACCTACCAGCTGCTGAATTCGCTGTCGCTCAGTCTCTGGGGTGAACTCAGAGCTCAGGGGCCGTACCTCATCTCTCCGCACCAAGATGGCCCTGGATGGGGTTGGAGAGACGAAGAGGTCTGTGGGACAGTCTCCACCCTCAGCAATGACCTTCCTCCTGCAAGCCCCTCATTCAACCAGGAGCCATCTCTGCCCATGCCAATCTCTTGTTTAAAGCCCTTCATGGCTGCTTTAGGCTGCAGTCATGGGCCTTTCAGGCTCAACCCTTCAACCTGGTATTTGTGGTCCCTGGCATCCACTGTCCACCCTTACACTCGACACGCTCCAGGCACACAACTCAGCCAGTCAATCCTACCCATTTTCTTCACTTTGGCCCTTTTCGCTGTTCCCACTGCTTCTGGTGCCTGCCTGCCCACCCTACAGGGCTCACTCACCTGCTGTCTCCGGCATTGGCCACGTAGAGCTTTCCCTGCAGGGACACAGCCACCAGAGCCGTGCAGCCGCCCACCTGGCCTGAGGCCTCCAGCTCCCGCCCGATCACCTCATCCTGGGGCAAATCAAGGCCATATTAGCTGCTGCTTGTACTGCTACCACACCACCCAATTCCCACCTCCCCATCAGCAAACCTGGCAGTCCCAACCCACAAACTAGCCATAATGCCAGGGTCCTTATGGTCAGGAGATCTAGACGTACGCCATGGGAAGGGAGGAAGTCAGCACAACTACTCAAAACCAAGGAAGAGAAACCAGTCCCTGTACCAAGGACCGACAGGGTGTGCAATGAGATGATGCAGGTAAAGGTATCTAGCACGCAGTAGATGCTGGATCAACGGGGGTTTACAATGATAACCATTAATAATAAACAAACCCAATCTTATCTTCCCAATCCAAACATCCAGGTGACCACCATCATGCACTGGGATGCCCCACACCCTGAGCTCCCTCCCTGGGAGCAAAACCTCCCCTCCTTCCCCAGCCAAAGGACACACTCACACATTCCTGGAAGGCGCTCTCCAGAGCCCCAATTACCAAGTCTTCTGCCCTAATGCCTTTTTCCTCCACAAACTCGGGGTCACTGGGGCAGACACAATGGCCACTGAGGTGCATGGGGGGCTGAGTGGCCGCCATGCCCTCTACCACAGCTTCCAGCTGCCGACGCAGGCAGGAGTGCAGGGTGTTGGCAGCCAGGATGGCTGCAGCTGGACCGCCATGCCCATCAAACAGGGCCCAGTAATGACCCATCAGGAACTGTACGGAAAGGATTAGGTATCAGGCTCTGTTTGATAGGACTAGGTATCAGGCTCTGTTCCCTGGTTGTCCCCTATCGAGCATGGGGCAGCAGGGCAAGAACCTCAACCTGCAATCCTGGCCCCAGTCCTGACCCCAGCCTTCAAAGAGGGGCTCAAGCCTGGCTGTGCTCACCTCCTCTGGGCACAAGGTCAACCACTCCTGATCCTCTTCAGCCTCCAATGCACATCTCCGGATGCACAGCTTCCCACAGGCAGCCTGATCTTCATTGAACTCAGATTTCTCTGCATTGATGATCCTGAGGCCAAGAAGTGATCAATGACCCTTCAGGGTCACACCCATGTCCCGATGAGCACAGACCTGAGCTAAATTCCCCATGCTGTCCCTGACACACCAAGACAAACATGGTGTAAACTTTCTGTTTGGGCAAAATTCAGGGCCCAGTCCCTCTGGAGCCTACTTGCTGAATGGGACTGGGAGGTAAAGGTAGGAGAGCCTGGGGAGATCTGGGCTCCTGTGCCTGTTCCCCACCCCATTTTAACCAGAATCCCTGTCCCATACAGCACAGACCACAACCTTGGGTGAGATGTGTGTGTGGTTGTGGGAGCAGCTCCAAAGCCCAGAGTTCTGGAATTGCACCGTGTTCCTGCCTCATCTTTGGAAACCCACGGGGTGCAGCTCCTTCCTGACCCACAACCTCTCTGAAGTAGGCTGGAGTCCAAAGGAAAAGGCCGAGGTGGGAAAGAGGAGGTTAAGAGTCCTAAGGTGCAGACAAGAGAGTGTTACCCACAATTGGGGGCTGGGGGAGTCTCACTCATTCAACTCAGCCACCTTTCTGGGTCAGCGCGGGCCCCGGGCCGGCTCGGCTGGGGTCGGGGATCGCGGTGCGGGAGGGAGGGGTGCCTGGGACAGGCAGCTCGCGGGGTGGGTTGACTCACTCGGCGTAGCCGGCGTTCCAGGGCAGCGCGCGGCCTCGCGCGGGGCTGCGCACCGGGCGGGCGTCCGGGCGGCGCGAGGCGTCGGCGGTGCCGGGGCCCGAGCCCAAGCCGCGCAGGAAGCGGGGCCGCCCGTAGGGCACCGGGCTGGCGCGCGGCCTGGGCGCGCGCTGGGCTGGAAGCGGAACCGCCGGCAGGAAGCGGCGCCGGAACCAACCGGCCGACATGGCGCGGCGGCAGCGGGCTGCCCGCGAAGGCCCCGCGCATCGCCCGCGCGCCGGCCCCGCTGGGAGGAAGCGGCCGGGGGCGGGGGCGGGGGCGGGGGCGGGGGCGGGCCCGGGCGGGCGGGGGCGGTGTGGGCGAGGCCACCCAAGCCCAACCTCCCGCCCCCAGAGCGTGCGGCCCGCCTCCCTCGGGCCCGTGGGCGTCCACGACTCTGACAAACAGGGCTGTGATCAGCCCCACTTTCCAGGCAAGAAAATTGAGGCCCAGAGAGGCGAAGTCACTTCCCCGTGTGACACAGAAACCTGGGCGGATGGAGGCGCACCACACGGCGGGGCACTAGCCTTTGGGAGGGAAAAGTTCTCCCTCCGCACCCAAAGAGGTTGAGGGGTCGGTTCAGAGCAGACTCGGAGCCTCCCGTGCCGGCCGCCATGACACAGCCTCAGACTCCTCCCGCTGGGGCCGGACATTAGAAAAGAGGAAGAAGGGAACAGGATGTCCCTGCGGGTGTCAGGTTGATGGAGTGAGTAAGCGTGTCAGACCAGTGTTCCTTCAGGTGGCTTCTGTTCCTGCACCCGCCACCCCCAGGGGGAACTTGGTGGCCACCTGACCTTCCCCATTCTGCTCCCATTCGTGGGCCAGTTATACAAACTGCTGCCCCTTCCATCAAGATGGCCTCTCTGAGAATTAAGTGTAGTAAAGCAAGTCAGAAGGGAAAAACAAATACTGGACGTTCAGATAGCAAACAATTCGATAAAGTAAAATGCTCGCAAAAACTAGTGGACATCAGTAAACACCGTGGGGGCTGAGGTTGAGGTGGGTCAGGGATTGAGACAAGGATAAAAGGGATGGGGGGAGGGGGATAAAATACGAAAAAATAAGATATGAAGTGTAATAAAATGAAATTGATTGCTGTAACATTAAAAACAAACAGGGTCCCCTTGGTGGCACAAGGGGTTAAGCATCGCAGCACTGTGAAGCTAGGTGCAGCTTCTGCAGCATGAGATCGACCCCTAGCCAGCCAGGGAGCCAACCCACTGGCGCAGCAGACCTCTCCTGTCTCTCTCGCTGCCCCCTTCAGCAGTGTATTTCAGTAGATCTGCCTGTTCTGCTCCCCACTCTGTCTCTGGTGAATCCTCTCACCTCCCCTCCCCCCCACCTCTGGCCTACACCCCAGTTCTTGTATGCATAAATATTTCAAACAAACAAGCAAACAAAGATATCCTCTCTGGGCAGACAGCAGGATCCTCACTAGGCTGATGGACAAGAAGAATCCATGGTCTCCAAAAGACTCCAATTCTGGCTTGCACCTGGGACTAGGAGAAATGAAAGCTCATCTGGCCTGGAAACAAAATGTTATAGTCTCTCAACTCCTGGGTGTCACCTGGGGTTCTGTGACAGTGTCCTCTACCCATCTGAGTGTAAATCTCTGTCACTGAAGCCAACTCCTTGTGCAGGACTGTTACTTTCAACTCATAATGGAGGACTGGGGCCCTCGGAAGGGAAGTATCTGGAAGCCCAGGGCTGTGTTGTTTCCATTATGACGGTTCAGATGACTAAAACCACCCCCACAGGGGATTTCTCTTCCCCTTTCCTGCCCCAAGAAGGCAGCCTACCTAACTCAAAGCTCCTGAGGTACCACAACCCAGAGTCCCCAGAGAGAGCTAAAGTAGGAGTTCCTACTTCCCTGCACTCGCAAGCCCAGCATGCAGTTGGCTACACTTCCTCCAGGTGGCCAGGCCTGCCCCTCTGGGAATTCCTCCTGCTCAGGAAAGAAGGTTCTCAGGACTGTGAGTGCAGGATTTGCACCCACAGCTCCCTCCTTCAGATGACTCATTCCTGGAGCAGTTGGGGGTCAACTTACTGACCCCGTGTTGAGTACCAGTCCCAGGCACCATGCAGTGCAAAGGAATATGGCACTCAGGCACACACATGCTCCTGCAGTGATGGTGGAAATCTTGGTAAATAGAGCTTGGTCTGGCTGGCAAAGGGGTAGGAGAAAGTCTCCCAAAAGACACCTGAGCTATGCCCTGTCACTGGAACAGAAATGAACAAGGGACCCAGGGTGGGGCAGCCCAGGTCAGTAGATGGGATCACCTCATCTCCACCAGTCAGTGGCTCAAAGGCTTTTAAATTTAGAAGAAACAATGCAAACACAGTCTATTTCCCTAACCCAGCCTTGTACTCACCTGGGCAGGACGAAGGTCCTGTCTTCTAAAGTGTGGTCAGAGAATCACTTGGCAAGCTGTAGCCTTGCTTAATTGTTTAAAGTTTTCAGAGCCTGTGGCTGCCAGCAGCTTCAAAGCATGAGATTTAACAACTAAGCCACCAGGGTGGCTCTTTTAATATTTATTTTTCATCTAATTTTTAAAATTCCATACTTTCACAACTCAAAATTCAAAAGTTGTGAAAGTGTACTTAACAACAACTCTACTCCACAGATGTCGTCCAGAGATGTCAAATCTGTGAAAAACAAGCAAAAATATATATTTATACCACTAAGACAACAAGGGTTGGTACAGATGTAGAAAAAAGGGAACACTTGTGCACTGTTGGTAAGAATGTAAATTGCAACCATTATGGAAGATGGTTTGGAGTTTCCTCAAAAAATTAAAACTAGAACTCCATATCTAACAGTCCCACTTCTGGGTATTTAGCTGAAGAAAAAAAAATACTATCTAAAAAGATAACTGGGGGGCCTCCCCGGTGGCGCAGCAGGTTGAGTGCTGGGTTGCGAAGCTGCCCGCGGCCTCTGCGGTGCTGGTTTGATCCCCGGCTGCTCCCCGGCCACCAGAGGAGGGTCCCACATGGCGCGCAGACCTCTCCTGCCGCCCGCTGCTCCCCTCAGCAGTGTACTTCGGTCCTTCTGCCTGCTCTGCTCCCCGCTCTGGCTCTGGTGGATTCTCTCACCCTCCCGCGCTTCTGACTGTACCCAGTGCTTGTATAAACGAAACAAACAAACAAACAAATAAATAAATAAATAAATAACATGCCTCTATAAAAAAAATAAATAAAAATAAAAAGATAACTGGGGCCTCCCCGTTGGCGCAGTGGGTTGAGCAATGCGCTGTGGAGCTGTCCGCGGCTTCTGCAGTGCTGGTTCTATCCTCGTGGGCTAGCGCGGATTCCACATGGTGTGGCAGACCTCTCCTGTTGCACCTGCCGCTCCTCTCGGCAGTGTATTTCTGTCGTCTGCCTATTCTGCTCCCTGCTCTGTCTCTGGTGAATCCTCTCACCCTCCCGCGCCTCTGGCCTCTACCCCAGCTCTTGTATAAAAATAAAAAAAAATCTTAAAAAAAATAAAAAGATAAAAAGATAACTGTACCACCATGTTCATTGCAAAATAATTTTTTTAAGATTTATTTTTATACAAGAACTGGGGTACAGGCTAGAGGCACTGGAGGGTGAGAGGATTCACCAGAGACAGAGCGGGGAGCAGAACAGGCAGACGAACCAAAATACACTGCTGAGGGGAGCAGCGGGCGTGACAGGGGAGGTCTGCCATGCTATGTGGGAATCTTCCCTGGCCGGCCGGGAATTGAACCTGTGCTACAGAGACTGTGGACAGCTTCACAGCACTGTGCTCAACCGGGGAGGCCCAAAATAATTTTTTTAAAGAATTGTTTATTTATACAAGAACTGGGGTACAGGCCAGAGGCACAAGAGGGTGAGAGAATTCACCAGAAACAGAGTGGGGAGCAGAACAGGCAGACAGACCAAAGACACTACTGAGAGGAGCAGCAGGCGAGGCAGGAGAGGTCCACTGCAGAATAATTTTTAATAGCTAAGACATGGAAACAACCTAAGTGACTACTGATGGATGAATGGATAAAGAAGTTGTAAGATATATGTATGTATATGTATACACACACCCACAAGCACATACAAAATGGAAGTATTATTCAGCCATATAAAAGGAAATTCTGCCATTTGTGACAATATGGATGGACCTTGAGGGCATCATGATAAAGGAAATAAGTTAGGCAGGGAAAGATAACCACTGTATGATGCGTAATCTTAAAAAAACAACACTCAACTCAAAGAGGGAGAATAGATACAGCACGAGGAGGTGGGTAAAATGGGTGAAGGTGGCCAAAAGATATAAACTTCCAGGTGTAAGATAAATAAGTCATGGGATATAATATACAGCATGAGGACTATAGTTAGCAATACTCTCATATATGCGATATTTGAAAGTTACTGGGAGTAAATCTTAATAGTTCTTTGCAACCGAGTATAGTGATGATTGTTAACTTATGATGAACATTTCATAATATATACATTAAATCATTATGTTGTACACCTAAACTAATGTTATATCAATTATATCTCAATATAAATATGTGAATTGGTAAAAATTCTATATATGTAAAATCTTTCCTCCTCTACTCCTTCTCTTTACAAATGATAGCATACACTACGCCATATCCTATATCTGAAATTTTCATGTAAGGTGGCTCCATCTTTTTGTAGTCCTTGAAGAACTGCCTTGTTCTTTAAGACTGCAGAACAATTGCCACAAATGTGCAAACTTTATGGACCTGGCCCCCCAGTGATGGGCATTTAGATTGTTCTTAATTTTTTGCTTTATTTTTTGGGGGGTGGGCATATTGGTTGGATCAGTTCCTAGTAATAGTATTTCTGGGTCAAAGGCATTCATTATTCACAGCAGCACTATTCAAAATAGCCAAAAAGTGGAAACCACCCATGTCCATCAAACGGATGATCCATCAGTGGACAAACAAGAGGTGGTGAATATGCACAAAGGAATATTATTCAGCCATAAAAAGGAATGAAGTACTGACACATGCTATAATATGTAGGGGCTCCAAAACATTATGCTAAGTCAGAGAAGCCAGGCACATATTTTATGTTTTCATTCACATGAAATATCCAGAATAGGTAAATCCACAGAAACAGAAAATAGGTTGACAGTTGCCAGAGGCTGGGGGTAGGGAAGAATGGAAAGTAATTGCTTAACAAGTATAGAGTTTTATTTTGGCCCGATGAAAATGTTTTCCTGGGTTTGGTGACATACTCACAGGGCCTCCTCTACTCCAAGAGTCTACAAACGTCTCCCTTTGTTTCTTCAATATTTTTTATAACTCACATGAACATTTAAATCTCTGACCCCTGGGGGGAAAACGTTTTCTAATAATTTTAATGGCTCACTCTGATGAGAAAGGAGCAACCAGGATGTCCTGGCCACCCTGCACATCCCTGGACCTGTCTGAGGGCTGAGTGCAGCTTTCTCATCTTTCTGCCTGAAACCAGATCTCAGGCAGAGCAAGAGTCTAGGTACTTTGCTGGCCCTGGGGGTGCTTGTCCACATCCCAGGATCTGAAGTAGGGCCAGTGTGAGTTCAAAACCATCTCCCACGAAATTCCCTTCTCTGGTCAACCCTTCATCACTGAGGTGTGAGATACTGATGCAAGGGATGAGGGTCAGTACCCAACTGTGAATTCTATGAATTCCAACCTCTTGAGCAAAGGAAACTGAGGTTCTTAGGGACACTCACATGTGTGACCTTGATCAAATCATTTCATCTTTATGAACCTCAGATTCTATACCTGTAAAATGGAGACAATAACACCTACCTCAATGGTTTGTCATACAGTGTGTGACACAAAACCTCTAGTGGTTCATTCATACAATTGTTTATCTTGTAAATATTACTGAACAATGCTGGGCGCCTCTCTAAGCACTGGGGCTATAGCAGGGGCTAAAACTTCACTAATGGTGAAGAGAATATAATAAACACCTAAGCAGGCAAATATATGTATCAGAGAGAGATAAAGAGAGTGAGTAGGGGAGTAGCCAGCCAGGCAGACCCTGAAGTTAAAATAATCACAGTTCAGGGCCTCCCTGGTGGCCCAAGGGGTTAAGCACTGCACTATAAAGCAATCCGCAGCCGCTGCAGCACCGACTAGGGAGCATCCCACCAGGTGCAGCAGACGTCTCCTGACTCGCCTGCTGCTCCCCTCAGCAGTGTGTTTTGGTCGATCTGCCTATTCTGTTTCCCACTCTGTCTCTGGTGAATCCTCTCTCCCCCTGAATCTTTAGCCTGTACCCCAGCTCTTGTATAAATAAATCCTTAAAAAAAAAAAGATAGTCACAGTTCATCCAGTGATGGACATTTTTACAGGAAATGTAACATTTTTTTTTTTTTTTATAGAGGCATGTTTTCTTTCTTTCTTTCTTTGTTTTGTTTATACAAGCACTGGGTACAGTCAGAAGTGTGGGAGGGTGAGAGAACTCACCAGAGCCAGAGCGGGGAGCAGAGCAGGCAGAAGGACCGAAGTACACTGCTGAGGGGAGCAGCAGGCGGCAGGAGAGGTCTGCGCGCCATGTGGGACCCTCCTCCAGTGGCTGGGGAGCAGCCGGGGATCGAACCGGGGCCGCAGAGGCCGCAGGCAGCTTCGCAACCCAGCGCTCAACCGCTGCGCCACCGGGTAGGCCCAGGAAATGTAACATTTTTTATCAATCTGTTTTCTTGGTTAATTCTTAGTTCCAAGAGGTTGAGGTTCTTTTTTTTTGGTTTTATGGAATTGCCAAGTTCTTCAGTGGAGGTGGCCAGGTCTGACAGCAGATATAACCAATATTGTATGTTGCTGTCCCTATCTGACTTGTGGCAGTGGGGGGCCTCTGACCTGGCCTTCCCAGGCTGGGCTTCAGGGTGTGTTGCACCCTGAGTACTGGGTGGAGGGATTAGTACTCTGCATGGGCCCAGCCCTCAGAATGTACACAGGAAGTTAACCAAAAAATCCCTTCAATTCTGTGCCTGACTCTCAGGAGAGAAACCCAGGCTCTGGGGCCCACAGACAGGGACTCAGTGCTACCCAGTCAAGGTGAGGTAGCAGGATAGTGAGGAGTGAACTCAAGCTGGGACCAAATACCAGTAGGCTGTAGACCCCATGATCACCTCTCAGCACCGTATCCCAAAAAGGCTCCCCAAACAAAGTGGGTAATGTGCTCAACCTTGATTCAATCAGTGATTTGGAAGACACATCATGTTGACTGGCTGGCATAAAGTAAGGCTGCAGAATATGAATCCAGACGTTCTAAGATTCACCAAGCCCTGGCTCTCACCTCCGCCCCTCCTTCAACCGCGGGACCTCGGCGTATGCAGTTCCCTCGTCTTGCAACGTTTTCCCTTTACTATCCCGGCAGACTTCCAGGTCGCCACTCAAATTTCGCTTCTTCTTAGGGGTCTTCACCCCCACAGACACGTCCATTTGTCAGCCATCCGGTGGACCAGTCGGAACTCCCACCCTTAGGGCAAGGCCAGGGGGCAGGGCCGCCTCGAGGTGCCCAGTTACCGGAGGTGCTCAGGATGCTGCGCGCACACACACGCGAGCGGCCGCCCACACGCAGACCCCATTCCCAGACGCCAAGGGGACAGACGTAGGTTCCACTCCGCGTGCAAACCCACCTGACCCGGGGGGCACGGACTGGAGCCTGCGGTGCGCGCGCTCGGATCCGCCCCGCCCCCGCAGGCCCCTTGGAGGAGGGCGCCCTGACACACCCGGGCTTGCGCCCACGCTGCCGGCCACACGCGGGCTCGGCGCTCTACTCCAAGCAGAGGCGCGCGCAGGCGCCCAGACGCCCAGACCAATTTCCAGCCACGGACCCCCGGGGCCGAAGCACCCCCGCGCGCAAGCGCGGCCCCGAGTCCCCGCCCCTCCCGGCCTTGCCCGTCGGGGGCGGGGCGCGCTGGGGGCGGGTCCTGCGGCACCGCCCGGGAAGCTGCGCGAGGCTGGGAGGTCGCGGCCACATCCTCCCCTTCCTCCGGGTCCCAGAGAGGCGAGCTGGGCCAGGATCGAGCTGAGGGCTCCGAGGGCGTGGGCGGAGCGGGGTACAGAGCCATGGCGCACCAGACCGGCATCCACGGTGAGGGCGGATGGAGGGAGGGCTGGGAGTCGAGGGTCTTGGATTGCGACTGCGCCCCCTCCCCGGCTGTGGGTTCCTGTCTCCTCCCAGTTACTAGCCGGGGGAAGCTTCCTGTTCTCTTTTGCAGCCACTGGTCTCCTGGGGTGGGCACCTAAGAGGTGGCACATATGACTGTGCATAGCTGGGAGTGGGTGGACATGTACATGCCCAGCTGGAGTGGAAGTATCTGTGTGCCCGTCTGGGGGTGGATGTGCAGTGTGTGCCCATCTCTATATTTTTGTTCCTTTCTGGGGGTGGGTGTACCGGATGTACATATCTGAGCGTGTACACGCATGTGCACTTGTCTTTTGTGTACAGTGCCTGTGTGTGCACATCTGGATGTGACTGCCTGTGCATCTCTAGGGTCATTTATGCACTTGTACTAGTGGCTGATTGAATGAATATTGTCACACGGAATCATCTTTAGACATCAGTGTTTTGGAACTTTGTGCTCACATCTGTGGGTGTCTGTGTGTGCACAATTTGGATGCATCGCAGTGTGCATTTGTTACCATGGATGCCTGTGTCTGTGTACAGGTTTGTGTCTATGTGAGGATGGGTCCCTAACCTTTGGCTCCTCCCAGGACCGTCAAACACTTGCCCAAACTAGGCTGGCGAAAACCTCGGAGGGGCTTCTCAAAGTGGGATGGAGAGTCGCCAGTCTGACCTTGACCTCTGATCTCCTTCCCATTTTTCTCTCAACTCCCATTTTTCGCCCCCTCCCCCCCAGCTCTCCTGCTCCTGAGCAGCCCGCTCCTTCCCAACTCCTGTCTGCCCCAGCCAAAGTTGAAAGTTCTAGCTCTAGGCAGGGGAGAGTCGAGAGGCCAGATAGGGATTGTGGGGAAGGGTCCTGGCTTAAGAGGTTCCAGGCCAGCTCTACCCTCCCCCAGCGCCAGGCTGCAGACTAGAGCATCAGCTTTCTCCCCAAGGGTCCTGGTTCCCTCCTCAGGCTGGGAGAGAAGCAGTGGCCAGGAGCCAGGTGTTTTGACTCTGTCTAGGTCTTGGTGTCCCCTTCTGTTGCTGGCCTGGGAGGGCTGGCTGGCCTGTGGGGGAAGGTATAGACTGCTTGCTCAGCCAGCCAGGTGGTTTGGCTATCAGCCACCCCTCACACCACACCAGGATCCCCGCCTGGGGCCACCACCATCGACCCTGTCTGACCACTTTTGTCTGACCACTTGTATCTTGACTTGCGGTTGTGGCTACTTGGTGCTTGACAGCCCTAAGAGGGTTTCCTGGCCCCACCCCCGCCCCACAGGACCAGAGATGGCAGGGGCCTGAGTCAGGGCCAGCCCTTCTCCAGGAGGAGCTGAGGGGCCACTTCATGACTCAGCCCACTAGAGGGAACTGCCACTGGCCTGTCCTGTCCCTTCCTTCCCCTTTGATCATTTCTGCTGCCTCTAACTGGGGAGGGCTAGAGGGGGTGTCGGAAATTAGGGTTCTTCCTCCTGCTCCAGAGTGACAGGTCCTGTGGCCAGGGCCTTGTCTCACTCCCTATTTCCCATATGGTGAGACAGACCTGCCTAGGGGATCACTGGAGACTGGCGCCCCCTCCCCCCCACCCCAGCTCTCCTGCTGGTGAGCAGCCCACTCCTTCCCAATTCCGGCCTGGGGAGGCAGTGGGAGAGATTGTTTTGGATGGCCAGCTCTGTCCTGCCCACAGGTGTGGATCTGCTGACCTCCGAGCAGGGCAGAGGAGGGACCTGTAACCTGAGGCTCAGGAGTTGGAGGGGTGGGCAAGGCAGTAGGGGTGGGGGTGGGGGAAGAAGGGCATGAATCTTTGATGATAAAGGCTCAGGTGTCCCAGGCATGGCCTCTGGATAATTGATGGTGGCTGAGGAGGCCTGGGAGGAGGAGCTGTCTCTTCCTCTACTGGGGTGTCACTTTGCCCTGGTAATACTAGAAGGAGCACGTCAGTCTCTCCCTTGGGGGAGCTTCTTGGTCTTCCCTCACAGAAGGTCTGGGCAGATGGAGGGGCAGCTTAGCACAGCCTGCCCCCATCGTTACTGTGATAAAATTTAATAATTGTTATTAAGTTACTGAGCACTTTTTCCCATTTACTCCTCACTAAAAGCCACTGTAGTTTGAGAGTATTCATTCTACCTTATAGATAGGAGATTGAGGGGGCATGCATAGCTCCTAGAAACATGGTGCTCCTAGGGCCAGGCTCTTCCTCAGGCAACAGCTTGCAATGGGCAATGCTTTCCTGACCCCTGCTGTGTCTCCATCCCATGCTGCTCTGAGCTCCAGGGTCTGCTTGGGGACCCTGCCTGCCCAGTGGCAGGTTCTGGGTCAGCCTACATGAGGGGCACTTGAGGACATGATCAGTTTGTTTTTCTGAAGCACCCCCTCCCCCACCCATGAGATGCCCAGTCCGGGCCCTATAAATATTCTCTGACCTCAGCCCTCCAGCTGTGGTCTAACAGAATTCTGACCCTTGGGTAGCCTCAAGGTCATGCTAGCCTGGCCTATGCACCCAGAGACCCAAGTAGGGCCTTTCCACACTTGGACCGTGCTTTCCTCATCTGAACCAAGAGTAGATCTCTGATTTCCCATGGTTCCTTTACACTGACCATGACCTGCGCTGGGAACCTTGGTCTTGGGCTGTCACCTTCCTGCTCTGTAGCCCTGGGACTCAGGCAGTTCTGTTTTGGGTAGTTCTTGAGGGCCACTCCTCCTCCAGGAAGCCTTCCTTGACTACCTGGAGCTTGGGGATTGGTTGATGGACTAGGCCTGGGTGTACTTGCATGCATGTCTGTGTGCCTGTGTGTTTCTATATATACTCTTTATATCCTCTTGCCTGCACATCTTAGGTGAGCTCTGCATTTGCCTGTGTTTGTCAGCACCCTGGGGACTCTCTAGGGACTCTTTCTCGCACACATATATATTTGCGTGCCTCAACATGTATGATCACCTATGTTTGACTAGCTGAGGGTGTGTTCATGTACAAGGAAGTTTGCATTTACATACTCTGTCACATACAGATGCTGGACGGAGTGTGTATCTGTTGACACCTATAACATGAGATGCATGCATGTGTGTGTATGCATGAACATAGTGGACAATGCACATTTGGGACATTTTTCCATGTGTTTCTGTGTCTGTGGCTATGATAGCATTGAGAGTGTCCCACACCAACTCAGTGTTGGGCCTTCCTGGGTGGGGTGCAGAGGACAGGTGGGGGCCTTTCCCACTGGCTGGTCTGGCCTGTCCCAGAGCCTGCCTTATCCTCAGTGGTCTGTCCCATCCCCACCCACCCCGTCACCAGAGCTATAACAGCCAGCAGGCCACCCGCCCGTCACCTCTGCTGACTAAATTTGGGAGCTGGTATTTATCAGCTGTCTCAGGTTCCCAGTCACATGGGGCCCTGTATTTAACCCCGGCTCCCAGCTCCGCCACCAGACCACGCAGGACAGAATACATCTTGAGCGGGTCCCTGCCCACGCTGCTTGCTCACCATGTTTCTCGTTCTTGTAGCCACCGAGGAACTGAAGGAGTTTTTTGCCAAGGCCCGGGCTGGCTCTGTCCGACTGATCAAAGTTGTCATCGAGGACGGTGAGTGCCTGCTGTGGCCTAGGACATTGGTTGAGGGCTGGAGCCAGCTGCTGTTCTGGGAGGTGGGGTGACTGGCTTCCAGTTCCATTAGGACCTGTTTCTCCCTCTGGGAATGGAGGGCAGCAGTTCCTTACAGGAGAGCAGTGGAGATGGGCATGAACATTATATACAGAGCAGGAAACTGAAGCTGGGGGGCTAGCAAGGGAAACCTGCCCAAAGGACCTGCTCAGCCTCCCCACAGTCAGTTAGGTATGGTGGGCCTAGTCAAGACACTGGGCTGGGCCAGGCAGGGGACAGGTGATAAGTGAAGCTGAGCACTGCCCCCTGTGGCCAGTGCCACTCGTCTCCATCTGTGCGCAGCAGGCCTGTTTTGAGTTGGCCTCTGGCCAGAAGGAATCCCAAGGAGAAGCCAGCCCTGCCCTTGGGAGGTGTCCCTTCAATGTGGAGAAGGGACTTCTGTCCAGCTTGCTTTGAGAACACAATGGAGAGGTTTCAGGCTTGCCTGGGCCTTGACATGGACCCCAGGGACCTGGAGGGGAGGTACTGGGGTACAAGGGTAGGGGGTGGGTGAGCTTGAGCTGAGACCTAAAGTGGGAGAGTTTGAAAAGGCAGAGAATGAGACTGAGGCTTGAGGGGACAGTCCTGGTAATGGGCTGCCCTCAGGGGTCCTTCTAGCCCACTGTGCAGTGGTGGGCCCTTTGGGAGACTCCCAAATGGGCTTGATGCCCATAGAATTGGCTCAAATCGTCCAGACCCAGGCTGTGCCATGGTTTGACTGGGGTTCCCAAGTTCAGATGTCCTCAGAGGTTGGGTCAGGTCACTGGGGTAGGTCACGAGTGAAGGCTTCCTGGGGAGCAAGCTACAGCTCCCCCAAAACCAGACTCATTGACCCTAGTCCTCAGCCCTCCCAAGAAGACCCCAATCCTCTTGCCCCACAGGCAAGATGTCCCTGCAGATAGTAAGCTGGAGTTGTCTTTAACTGGGCTCTTCTCTCAGGTCATGTTACGGTGGTTGGGCCACCTGGGAGTAGCCAGGAGGATCCAGGCCCCTGACAGGGGGCCACTGTCCATCTGCAACTGAATGTGGCTTGATATTCCTGAGAATGTTTCTAGAGAAGTTGTCAATTCTACTTCTTATGTAGAATTTCCCAGTTTGGAAATATTGGCTGCAAATTGAATGTTGACAGTGCCAATGGCACCTTCTCAGCCTAAGACTTCTGGTTTTCAACCCCGATCCCCTTTGGGTCAGAGGGTAGGTGAGGAGGCCATTGTGCAAACAGGTGGCTGGTCCGGTGGGCCTGGCATGTTGGGACTCCCAGTAAGCTGGGCCTGTTGTCTCCACAGGAGAGCCTGGTTGGGGCTAGGACCCCTCTGGTTAGGAGGTGACTGTCCCATTGCTCCAGCTCTTCCTCTGGCCTAGGCCTGTGTACACCTGGACTGTTGTTTGGGGCCCAGCCAAGGCCCAGCCCACAGGCTTATTAGGCTGATAGGCCAAGGGTATGTCCACCTTCAATGATCCATTCAGTCACTCTGCATCACCTGGGAGGTCAAGCCTGTGGGCCCCAGGCATTAGGGAGTTGGTTGCTTTTGATTTGTTCATTTTAGGGGATGGCACCCCCTCCTAGGTGGCAGCAGGATATCTGTCTATACACTTAGGGGCCCCTGTCACCCTCTGCCCTACATGCTTTTGCTCCTGGAGGTCCCTGTGACCCCGCCTCCTTCATCACATTTGTTCTGAGAAGGGAATACTGGAGTCCAGGCTGAGAGAGGAGGGAGAAGCAGGAGGTATGTGGGATCGTGAGTGAGCACCCATGTGTGTAATGTCCGTGAGGTGACTGTGGGCACGTGGCTGTTATCTCTTTTATACATATATATATGTATCACATCAGTCTTCATTTTTGTACAATGTACGTGGCTGTATCTCTTTGTGTGCTTGTCTGTGTTGGGTCATCTGGGCAACCAACTCCCTAATGCCTGGGGCCCGCAGACTTGCACCTCTCAGGTGGTGCAGAGTGCAGAGTGACTGAAGGTGAACATACGCTTGGCCTACCAGCCTAGGCCTGTGGGCTGGCCACAGGTGTGCACAGGTCTCACCTGTGTGCACACGCCCACATGTGTGTCGTGTAGAGGGAGAAGCCCCTAGCTGGTAGCTTTGTCCTCATTCATTCACTCACCCACTGATTCAGCCATACTGCTTTGTACTTCAGGGGAAGGTGGAGTGAGTGGGTGGCCAGGGGGTGTGAGCCATGGCCAGAAGTTGGAGGGCCAGAGCCAAAGGTGGTTGTGGGAGATGGCTACTCCTAGGCTCACCCGGCCTCTGCCCCCAGAGCAGCTCGTGCTGGGTGCCTCACGGGAGCCAGTGGGCTGCTGGGACAAGGACTATGATGGGGCCGTACTGCCGCTGCTGGATGCCCAGCAGCCCTGCTACCTGCTCTACCGCCTGGACTCGAAGAACGCCCAGGGCTTCGAGTGGCTTTTTCTTGCCTGGTCGCCTGATAATTCCCCCGTGAGTCCTAGGGACCCCTGCCAGCTCCAAGATGGTGGTGGTGGGGTGGGGGATGCTGAGCAAGATCACAAGGCCCTGCCCTGGGAAGTCTGAAGGGAGGGATATCAGGTCCTGCCCCAGAGTCTGAGAGGGGCAAGGCCCTGGGAGGCAGAGGCAGGGGCTGGGCCAGGGCTCCCCCTGCTGTTCCAGTTGCCCGCTGTGTTCTCCACTCAGTGCCTGGCCCTCTGCTGGTTGTGGAGGCATAATGCTAAGACTGGGTCCCCACCCAGTGACTCCTGTCTGCTCCTGGAGAGGAAGCCCTGCCCAAAGGGGTCTCACAGCTGCCTCTGCCCTTCAGGTTCGGCTGAAGATGCTGTACGCAGCCACAAGGGCCACAGTGAAGAAGGAGTTTGGAGGTGGCTACATTAAAGATGAACTCTTCGGGACTGTAAAGGTAGGGCTCCCTGCCTACTTCCCCAGGCCAGGAGGCCCAAAAAGGGTGGGTTGTTGTGCAGAGTCACAAAGCAAATGGGTGTCAGACTTGGGGATGATGAGGCCTGGGGATGGGGGCCGGGAGGGGCTGCAAGCCAGGTGTTCAGTGAGCTTCTGCCAAGGTATCCCTCTATGTCTGCGTCTACCCGGCCAGGATGACCTCTCCTTTGCCGGCTACCAGAAACACTTGTCATCCTGTGCGGCACCTGCCCCTCTGACGTCGGCTGAGAGAGAGCTTCAGCAGATCCGTATTAACGAGGTGGGTGTGCCAGATAGGGTGGGCAGAAGTCCCTGCTAGAGGCCTCAAGGTCACGTCAGCCCAGTTGGCTGAGCCTGTGCACTCTCCGTGGGCAGGTGAGGGCTTTGCTCACTGTTTACCTACTCCCAGGTAAAGACTGAGATCAGTGTGGAGAGCAAGCACCAGACTCTGCAGGGCCTGGCCTTCCCCCTGCAACCCGAGGCCCAGCGGGCACTTCAGCAGCTCAAGCAGAAGATGATCAACTACATCCAGCTGGTGGGTGCCTCTTCCCAGCCCCAGAAGCACACACAGGGTACCCCCCCATCCCTACTCCTGCTCAGATACACATGCAAATGTGCACCCTCCCCCACAAGCCTGTCCACTTTAGTTTACCCACCTGCTTGTGAATAGTGCATGCGCTTGTCCCCTGCCCAGCCCCTGCACACCTCATGGACACTGTGTGACACTCCTCCACACTGTACACATACTCACCCCAGTGTTGGCACTGACCCCTCAGCCCCGAGTCTGAGTTGTCTTCCATTGCCCCTGACCATCGCCTTTCCCAGGCAGGGTCCCACTGTCCCAGTGGTCCAGGCTGCCCCCTTTCAGGCAGAATGGCTTCTCCCTTCTAAGGCATGTTCCCAGAGGCCTTTTTTCTGAGGATGAGCTGGCCTCCCGGAAGTGGAGTCCCTCCCCACAGTCCTGTCCACCATCCTTGGTGGGAGTTCTTTCTCTAGCAGAGTTTTCAAAGGGGTAAAAGTGAGAATGGGCCTAAGAGTGGCTCCCTTAGAGGAACCTCCACAGAAGTGTGCTGCTAGGAGGAGCTCCCTGGGAGAGGGATCTCTCTAGTAGGCTTCTCCTCGGTCCTGCTTGCCATCTAATCCAACTGCAGCCTCAGAATTCTTACCTGGAGGGTGGTCTGAGTGGTACCCCCATGCCCTCACATCCTCCCTCCCCCTTGGCAGAAGCTGGACCTGGAGCGGGAGACAATTGAACTGGTACACACAGAGCCCACAGATGTGTCCCAGCTGCCCTCACGGGTGCCCCGAGATGCTGCCCGCTACCACTTTTTCCTCTACAAGCACACCCATGAAGGCGACCGTCTTGAGTCCGTGGGTGAGTGGCCACAGCAGGGCCCCTGCGCCTGTGGCTGGGGAGGAGCAGCACTAGCCTATAGCTGGTGTGCTGTGGCAGGGTGGCGGTGTGGGCCTGCTGGCTTTCCAAGCCTGCCTTGGCTCACCTCCCCATCCCCCACAGTGTTCATCTACTCCATGCCGGGGTACAAGTGCAGCATCAAGGAGCGCATGCTGTACTCCAGCTGCAAGAGCCGCCTCCTGGACTCAGTGGAGCAGGACTTCCAGCTGGAGATCATTAAGAAGGTGGATGCCCATTCCCAGGGCCCTGTCACCCCACTCTCCACATGGGGCGTTGGAGTCCTGAAACAAGGGCAGAATAGGGGTCATTGTTGTTCTGTTGGATGGATGGGGAAACTGAGGCCTGAGGGGTAACATGCATCATCAAGGCTACTGGCTAACTGACATGGAAAGCCCTTGCCCTGACTACCTCCTTTTCCTGGGTCTGAAAGGTAGATGGGGGTGCCCAAGGCTTGAAGGGCAGCAGGCTTCTGTTCTTGTAGGTGACATCCCCAGGTGGGGATCTGGAAGGAGACCCTAGGACTGGTGTATGAGAGATCAAGGGGTGCCCTAGAATTGGGATGTCCAAGGGTGATCTTTGTCAGACCCACACCCCACCATCGGGGTGACCACCGTCTTATCCCTTACAGATTGAGATTGAGAACGGGGCAGAGCTGACAGCTGAATTCCTCTACGATGAGGTGCACCCCAAGCAGCATGCCTTCAAGCAGGCCTTTGCCAAGCCCAAGGGCCCTGGAGGCAAGCGGGGCCACAAGCGCCTCATCCGTGGCCCCGGTGAGAATGGGGACGACAGCTAGGGTGGCCAGACCGGAGCTGTGCCGGCATGTGGACCGTGGGGCTGCCTGCCCACCCCCTCTCCCCCTGCCCTGCCCTGCTTCTGGCCACCTCCCGCCTTCCTAGCCTGGGCGCCAGCGGAGGGCTGCTTCCTGTGGGGTAGGAGGGCTGGTCACTGGATAGCTTTGCAGCTTCTGAGGGCCACTGGGCTGGCATTTGTGACTCTTCCATTGCTGTCTCTGCCTCTCGTGTGTCTGCGGCCATCTGGGGACCCTGCCCGACTGTCTCATGGGGCCTGGGTGGTGAGCCTGGCCTGAGCCTGACCCCCAGGGGAACTGAAACTAGGGTCTTGGCGCAGCCCTTGAAGCCTTTGGCAACAAGGGTGGAGTTAGTTGTGGCTGGGCAGGGGTCGCTGCAGAACGATATGGTTGAATGCTGTATTTTTTAAAGAATAAAATATTTTTAAATCAACACTGAGTCTGACCCTGAAGGTCCACCTCTGACACTGGGACCTGGGAGGTCCTGTGCCTGTAACTGTCCCAGAAGCGGGGGAAGGAATCTATTGGCCTGCTAGGTGGGGCCTGAGCACTCCTGGCTGCAGGCGAATGTGTCTGTGTGCGAGGGCACAGCCTCACACAGGCCCCTTTATTCCTGTCGGCTCTGCCAGCAGAGACAGGTGTACCTCTGCTGTCATAGGGGAATCTGAGTGTATTGGTTTTCTGTGGCTGCCAAAACAAAGTACCACAAACTTAATGACTTAAAATAACACAAATTTATTCTCTTGGAGTCCTTGTAAATCCGACAGAGCTAAAAATCAAAGTGTGGGCCAGGCTGGCTCCTTCGGAGGCCTCTGGAGAATCCATTTCCTTTTTCAGCTTCTAGAGGCAGTCTGCACTCTTTGGCTTCTGTCCCTTTCCTTCCATCCGCAGAGCCAGAGGCATAGCACCTCCTGATTCTGCTCCCCTCAGCTTCTGTGGATGCATGGCTTTCTTGTGTAGTGCATCTCCCCCTGCCTCTGTATTGTAAGGACACGTCTTGTGTTCACCTCCTCCCCCCACCCCAGATACCCCAGAGTCTCTTGCCGTCTCAAGACCCTCAATTCCACCTGCCAAATGCTTTGATCATGTGAAGGAACCAATTCAGTTTCCAGGACTAGGATGTGGATCTCCCTGGGGGCCATTCTTCAGCCTGCCGTGATGATTAAGTTCTTTTTTTTTTTTTTTCCACGCGAAAAGCGATGATTAAGTTCTACTCACTAGGTTTCGCGCCTCTACAGGTCTGAGGAGTGGTGTTTGTGGACATCTGAATCTTGGTGTGTCCAGTTCATGTGTGCACAAGGGCAGACTTCTCTGTGAGCTCTTTGGCCATCTGCTAGCTGCATTCTCCCCAAGGGCCTGGATCCCTGGGACCAGCGACCCTGAGACAATCCCTTTCAGACTTGCTACTCAGCTGGCCACAGGGCTTCATTCTCTGCCTCTGAGAAGTGAGTGGAAGTTCCCTCCCATCCCAGGTGGGGACTGTGGGGTTGATGATGGATAGTTGTTGAATGAGCATTCCTTTTTTTTAGGGGCACATCTTAAACTAGGGTTCAGGGCAGTGTCCCATCACTAGGGTCTTTTTATAAAGGTTTATTTTTATTTATGCATACAAGAACTGGGGTATAGGCCACAGGTGTGGGGGGTGAGAAGATTCACCAGAGACAGAGTGGGGAGCAGAACAGGCAGATCTGCTGAAATGCACTGCTGAGGGGAGCAGTGGTCGAGTCAGGAGAGGTCTGCTATGCCATGTGGGTTGCTCCCTGGCCAGGGATTGAACTCATGCTGCAGTGGCTGGCAATTGCTTGATGGAAACCCCATCACTAGGGTCTTGCTCAGCCTCTACAAAAACCCCTAGAACAGAGCTGGGACCTTAGCATCCAGAGAAGTTTTGTCCTTGCTTACGCCAAACACTGTGTTCCCAGGTGGGCAGGAAGACCAAGTCATTCTCCCTGCATGCACAAATACACATTGCTCTATCACCTGGGCCTGTGAGCCAGCTGGATGCCTGGCAGCTTACAGCCACCATGAGACCCACCAGAAGTGGCCATGAAAAAGCAGGAGTAGGGCCTCCTCGGTGGCACAGCGGTTGAGCGCTGGGTTGCAAAGCTGCCCGCAGTCTCTGCAGCTCCGGTTTGATTCCCGGCTGCTCCCCGGCCACCGGAGGAGGGTCCCACATGGCGCGCAGACCTCTCCTGCCACCCGCTGCTCCCCTCAGCAGTGTACTTCGGTCCTTCTGCCTGCTCTGCTCCCGGCTCTGGCTCTGGTGAATTCTCTCACCCTCCCGCGCTTCTGACTGTACCCAGTGCTTGTATGAATAAATAAATAAATCTTTAAAAAAATATATAATATACAAAATAAATAAATAAATAAACAAATAAATAAAAAAAGAAAAGAAAAAGCAGGAGTAAAGGGGTGGCCAATGCACAGCCATGCCTCCTCCCAGCAGAACCTCCATTCAATCATTCATTGAACCATCACTCAGAGACACTGTGCCTGCCCAGAGCTGGTTACTGGAACCCATGGGGTCAGCAATTCTGAGCACCACATGTAGGACGCTGTGCTGGACCCTGAGGACACAGACAAAAGATCCCTGCCCTCAAGGAGCTGCCATTCCGCAGTGGAATAAGACAGTCTACCATAGTCCATGAAAAATCACCGATATGGTGTGATAGCAGGTAAAAGCTGTTAGGACCGAGACAGCAGATAAAGGGGCTCAGGAGGGTCAGATCTGGGGCAGGGGGTTTATAAGACTGCAAGGGCAGGTCTCATGGAGAGGGTGCCATGGAAGTAGACACTTAGAGGAGACAGTGGAGGGGCCACTTGTGCATCTGGGAAAGGAGCTTCCAGGCAGAAAGAGCAGTGCCTTCACGGGCCCTGAGGCAGGAGGGTTCATTCAAACAGCAAGGAGGCGGGAAAGGCTGCAGCAGGGCAGGGAGATTGTGGGACCTTGTTGGCTGTGGTTTTGACTCCAGACAGAGCTATGGCGGGGGTCTGAGCGGGGGAGGGGGAGGCTAATATAACTTAGGGGCCAAATGTGAGTAAGCTGTGGGGTCCACGAGCAGAAGCCGGGCAACGTGGGAGGAGGGGGCCACCGTGTCGCTGTAGGTGAGAGATGGTGGCTCAGTCCAGGTTGGTGGATGTGAGGGTGCTGGGCAATGGCAGATTTTGGGCACTCTGAAGGTGGGGCCAACAGGACTTACTGAGAGTCCCAGGAAACCGTGAGGCTTCGGTCTGAGTAATTTGTGTTACTGCCACAGGGTCAGGAGCCGACTGGAGTCTCCTCCAGGAGGTCCAGCTGGATCAGCCATGGGGGTTGTGCTCTCTTGGGGCACTGGGTGCACTGGAAATTCAGAAGGGGAAGTGGCAAGACTGCAGTAGAGGGATGCAACCTGGGCAAGGCCCTGGGAGCTCTGGGGATGTGCTTGTGTGGTCAGAAAGGGGCAGATGCAGGAACCGCTGGTCTGAGTATGTTGTTTGTGGGGTGGTGGCTGAGCATGAGGGTGAGAGATTCCTCTTGGGATGGGGAGGGCCCTGGCATGGATGTCAGCATGCCCACCCACTTCTGGCACTGCCCCTAATTCCAATCTCTCACTGACCTTGGACTGCACTCTGGGCTTGATTTCTCCTTGCATTTCCCTGAGGACAGGTGTGAGGGCTCAGAGAGATGTGGCTGTGGGCGCGGAGACAGGAGAGTGGAAAGAGGAAGGAGGGAAAATTTGTCTGCTGCATGTCTATGCAAATAGCCTCTGACTCATTGAGCCCCCACCCCATGGGCAGGATGGGGTGAGGGAGTCGGGTACTAATATATTGTGAAATTCTCACTTCCTTTGTTCTCAAAACTGGTGCCACAGAAAGAGACCAGGCACTTGAAGCATCCTTCCCTGCAGCTCCTGCCCCGCTGGCCGGCCAGGCCCGCTGGAGAAGCACCTGCTTCCTGTCATGGTAGGATAGCAGCCCTCAGGTCCCCCTCCCCACCAACCCCTGGAAGGGGACAGCCTGGGAAGTGGTAGGGAGCGAGTGGGCTTGGTGGCTGCACACCAGAGTGGAGGGGCTGTCACGCAGCCCTAAAGACATTCAATGAACCCTGAAGACAGCCCTTCTCTGAGCAGAGACTCAGCCCATTGCGTGCCGAAGAGACTGGGGCCCAGGGCTGTGCTCAGAGTTGGCGCTGGGGAGATGCACAAAGCTGGACACCCCAGCGGTGCTGTCTGACGCTTTGCTGCCCTCTCCTCCCTCCCATCCTCTACCCACAGCAGGTTTCCTGCTCTCGGGATGGGTGAGGTGGGCAGTGCCCGTCCTAGGCTGGGTGAGGAGGCAGCCAGTCTGGACTTCAGCAGGAGACCCTCATTCCTACCTGGGTTTTGGCCAAGGGATGAGGGCGGCTCGGCTGGAGGGAAGGAAGCAGATGCCCCCTTGCTCGGGAGGAAAGGGAATGGTCGCTGAGGAAGTGAAGTGGAAAGTGGGGGGAGAGCGCTGGGGGCAAAGTGACCACTTGTCTGGGTTTCCTGTCCAGCTGGGGCTTGGTTAGGAGTGAAAACGCTGGCCCACGAGTCTGGACTCCTGGTCCAGAACCAGTTTTGAGTCCTAAATTCTGAGACAAAGGTTACATCTTATATGTAGATCCAGATTCCTCAGGAGCCTTGGAGAATGGGGTGGGGGCTGGGCAGAACGGCAGCACCTGGTGGACGGCTTGGAGGGTGGGGGGTGGGAACCCTCTTAGGGGGTTCCCCTGAAGTGGGGAGGGGGAGGTGGCACCGAGGTTGCGCACTCACACAGACCCCACCCCCACAGGGCCCCTGCTGCAGGGCCCTGCACCCCTTGGCTCTCCTGGTACAGGTGGTGGTGCCGGCTGTGGTCCTGGCTCTGGGCACCCTCCCTGCCTTCCTGCCCTGTGAGCTGCAGTCACACGGCAAGGTCAACTGCGACTGGCTGTTCCTGAAGTCTGTGCCCCACTTCTCAGCGGCAGCACCCCGTGGCAATGTCACCAGCCTTTCCTTGCGTTCCAACCGCATCCACCACCTGCATGACTCTGACTTTATCCACCTGCCTAACCTGCGGCATCTCGACCTCAAGTGGAACTGCCCACCGGTGGGCCTCAGCCCCATGCACTTCCCCTGCCACATGACCATTGAACCCAAGACCTTCCTGGCCATGTCCACCCTGGAGGACCTGAACCTGAGCTACAACGGCATCACCACTGTGCCCCCGCTGCCCAGCTCCCTGGTGTCACTGTCCCTGAGTCGCACCAGCATCCTGACTCTAGACCCCACCCACCTCAAGGGACTGCATGCCCTGCGCTTCCTATACATGGATGGCAACTGCTATTACAAGAATCCCTGCCAGGGGTCAGTGGAGGTGACCCCAGGCGCCCTCCTTGAACTGGGCAACCTCACCCACCTGTCACTCAAGTACAACAACCTCACGGCGGTGCCCCGCAGCCTGCCTCCCAGCCTGGAGTCCCTACTGTTGTCCTACAACCACATCGTCACTCTGGGCCCTCAGGACCTGGCCAATCTGACAGCCCTTCGTGTGCTTGATGTGGGTGGGAACTGCCGGCGCTGTGACCATGCCCGCAACCCCTGCATTGAATGCCCAAAGGGCTTCCCCCGGCTGCATCCCGACACTTTCAGCCACCTGAGCCACCTCCAAGGTTTGGTGTTGAAGGACAGTTCTCTCTTCAGCCTGAACAATGCCTGGTTCCACGGCCTGGACAACCTCACAGTGCTAGATCTGAGTGAGAACTTCCTGTACGACTGCATCACCAAAACGACGGCCTTCAGTGGTCTGGCCCAGTTGCGCAAGCTCAACCTGTCCTTCAATTACCACAAGAAGGTATCCTTCGCCCACCTGCAGCTGGCACCCTCCTTTGGGAGACTGGTTTCCCTGCAGACACTGGATATGCATGGCATCTTCTTCCGCTCTCTGAACAGTAAAACGCTCGAGCCACTGACCAAACTGCCCATCCTCCAGGAACTGCATCTGCAGATGAACTTCATCAACCAGGCCCAGCTCAGCATCTTTGGGACCTTCCCGAGCCTGAGCTTTGTGGGCCTGTCAGACAACCGCATCAGCGGAGCTGGGAAGCCAGAGGCCACCATGGACCAGGCAAACGATGGGAAGAAGGTTTGGCTGCTGTCCAGAGACCTCTCTTCACTAGGATGGGACAACCCCAACCCTGGGGAGTTCATGCCTAGCTGCAAAACCCTCAACTTCACTTTGGATCTGTCACGGAACAACCTGGTGACCATCCAGCCAGAGATGTTCTCCCGTCTCTCCCGCCTGCAGTGCCTGTGCCTGAGCCACAACAGCATCTCACAGGCGGTCAATGGGTCCCAGTTTGTGCCACTGACCAACCTGCGTGTGCTCGACCTGTCCTACAACAAGCTGGATCTGTACCACGGGCGCTCCTTCACAGAGCTGCCGAGACTGGAAGCCCTGGACCTCAGCTACAACAGCCAGCCTTTCAGCATGCAGGGCGTGGGCCATAACCTCAGCTTTGTGGCCCGGCTGACTGCCTTGCGCTACCTCAGCCTGGCACACAATGGCATCCACAGCCGTGTGTCCCAGGAACTCCGCAGCACCTCTCTGTGGGCCCTGGATTTCAGCGGCAATGACCTGAACCGCATGTGGGCTGAGGGAGACCTCTATCTCCACTTCTTCCGAGGCCTGAGAGTCCTGGTCCGGTTGGATCTGTCCCAGAATCGCTTGCATACCCTCCTGTCATGCAACCTGGACAACCTTCCCAAGAACCTACGACAGCTGTGGCTCCGTAACAATTTTCTGGCTTTCTTCAATTGGAGCAGCCTGGCCCTCCTGCCGAACCTGGAAGCCCTGGACCTATCAGGAAACCAGCTGAAGGCCCTGGCCAATGGGACCTTACCTGCCGGCACCCGGCTCCAGAGGCTGGACCTCAGCAGCAACAGCATTAGCTTCGTGGTCCCTGGCTTCTTTGCTCCAGCCCAGGGTCTGCGAGAGCTCAACCTCAGTGACAATGCCCTCAGGACGGTGGAGCCCTCCTGGTTTGGTTCCCTAGCGGTCGCCCTGAAAATCCTAGATGTGAGCGCCAACCCGCTGCACTGTGCCTGTGGGGCGGCCTTTGTGGACTTCCTGCTGGACGTGCAGGCAGCTGTGCCTGGGCTGCCCAACCGCATCAAGTGCGGCAGTCCAGGCCAGCTCCAGGACCTCAGCATCTTTGCACAGGACCTGCGCCTCTGCCTGGACGAGTCGCTCTCCTGGCACTGTTTCGGCTTCTCGCTGCTGGCAGTGGCCCTGGGCCTGACCGGGCCCATGCTGCACCACCTCTGTGGCTGGGACCTCTGGTACTGCTTCCACCTGTGCTTGGCCTGGCTGCCCCGGCGTGGGCGGCGGCGGGGCGCAGATGCCCTGGCCTACGATGCCTTTGTGGTCTTCGACAAGGCGCAGAGCGCAGTAGCTGACTGGGTGTACAACGAGCTAAGGGGGAGGCTAGAGGAGGGCCGTGGGCGCCGGGCCCTGCGCCTGTGTCTGGAGGAGCGTGACTGGCTACCTGGCAAAACCCTCTTTGAGAATCTGTGGGACTCAATCTATCGCAGTCACAAGACGCTATTTGTGCTAGCCCACACTGACCGGGTCAGCAGCCTCTTGCGGGCCAGCTTCCTGCTGGCCCAACAGCGCCTGCTGGAGGACCGCAAGGACGTGGTGGTGCTGGTGATCCTGCGTCCTGAGGATGCTTACCGCTCCCGCTACGTGCGACTGCGCCAGCGCCTCTGCCGGCAGAGCGTGCTCCTTTGGCCTCACCGTCCTAGTGGTCAGGGCACCTTCTGGGCCCAGCTGGGCATGGCCTTGACCAGGGACAACCGCCACTTCTACAACCAGAACTTCTGCCGGGGCCCTACTACAGCCTAATAGCTAAGCGACTGCCCAGCACTGCCCAACTCCCAGCCCCCAACTTGCCTCCCCTGCTCCCTGCATACCACAGCCACTCAATAAATGCTACTAGCATGCCACACTGCTAACCCTGAGCAAATAGGAGGTGTTATTGGAGGAAGGAAGGAGAAAGGAGAAAAGGTGATGGGGAGAAATTGCCATGGAGAAAAGCAGAGGAGCCACAGGATGCAGGGCTTCCCAAGGGAGAAGTTACTGTGGTCACACCCATCCTCGCAGGGCAGTCTGCTGAAGGTCTTGGTCCTTCCCACAGAGCAGACTGGGTCTCCTGGCCCTTGTCCTCCCTGCCCCAGGCCATGCCAGGCAGCCCTGCTAAGGCTGACTCTGCACATTTCTGTTGGCTTCAGGATCTGTCTCCTTCACTTGCTGGACTGAAAATGTCTCGAGACCAGAGAACTTGGCTTCCTTCATTTTTGCCTCTTGGCTCAGCCCCCTGCAAAGCTCCTGAGAGACAGCAGCAGCCCTGGGGAATGTTCATCTCAAGTGGGTGGGAGAAAGCTCTGCGGCAACGTCAGAGGGGAAATTGCGCCCTCTGGTGGCCATTCATGTGCTGCTGCACCCAAGAGGCTGCTCAGATGAGGGAGATGAAGGCTTGCGGGTATATGTTGGGGTCAGGGAGTTGGGAACACAGAAGATTCTAGAGGGAGCCCAGGACCTATCCCTTCCACCTAGAATGCTGGTCTCTGTTCTGACATCAATGGGACACCTAGGTTGAGGTGCTGCCTGTAGCCACCTACGGTGGCTACAACGGTAGGGCCCCCCCTTTCATGACCCTGCCTCACTACTGATTACACTTAGGTGGGAAATGTAGTCACATCTACTAGAATGGAGTATGTGTGAGTGTTTCTGGTTTTAATATCCACTGTAGATGATGAGACGCTGCTGGGAGCCCCCATGACCAGTTTTGGAGGTAGCCTGCTTAGGTCCACATTCAACGAGTATGTGGGGAGTTGTGGCTTGTGTCAGGCCTGGAGCCTGGAGGTGCTTTGCTTGGATCAATTGCCTACACCACCCCACCACCAAACTTACCCTTTGAGGAGCAGGGGAGCCAAGGGCAGCCTGACAGTTGGAGCTATGGCCTGGGGCAGCAGGAAAGTGGATGCCACTTAGCTGGCCAGGCCAGTTTGGGACCAGCTCCTTTGCTCAGGGTTGGAGCTGGCAACAGACTAGTCTAATCTTGCAGCCTGATTGTGGGCAGATCTGGAGGTGGGGGGGTAAGGGGGGAGACTGCCCTCCCTTGAGGATTCAGCTGGGAGAGAAGTATAGAGAAGTATAGGCCGCCTTCCTCTTTCTGATTTGGACACAGTGCCTTCTGCGGTGGGCCCCTGTTAATTGTTTGCCTGAAAGAAAGACAGACCAGATGGCAGTTATCTGTCCCACAGTCAAAAGGCCTGGGCAGGCCCTGGACTGATCTGAGAGGGCTGGCTTAGTTCTGAAGGAGCAGGCTGAGGCAATGCTTGGCCCCATGAAGTTCCTTGGCCTGTACTTAGGGAGAAAAGAAAACAAAAACTGTACTTCCCCAGGCTGGAATCTCGGGGAGGCCCCTTATGAGTGGTTCTCAGACTGTTCCAACACACCCAGAAACAGCTGCCAGAGGCAGGGCCCTGATGGGGATGGCATTTTGCAGGAAGGAAGCACAGTTTGTCTGTCTTTCAGAACAGCATGGTCTGCCTCAAGCAGTTCCCAGCCTCTCCACTTCCCACCCACCCACTTGTGCTCACAGTGCTGGTTCTGTGGGGGCTGCATTGTGGAGATGAAGCCTGGGACTATGGTATTATCGTCCTAATCGGGTCCTTTCGCTTGCCCTCAGACTCTGAACCACGAGATTGTTTCCACACAGGAAGCTTTTTATTAGCTAGTGGCACCACATTGGGAGAATAGCAGAGTTTGTACTCAGGAAAAGACTGTCTGCCCGCTTGTGTCGAATGAGGGAAGATTGTATGGAAAGAAAGGAATGTGGGGACACACAGGGCAGGGAGGCAGTTTATTTTCAGGTGGGGGAGGGCACCAGGCAGTCTAGGGGCAGTCAATCGCTAGGTGGTTGATGAAATTTCTGAAATCTATGTTCTCTTCCTTGTCATCAGTTTAAAATGATCTGTGGGTGTTCGTCAAGCATCAATGCTATCAGGATGCTCGGAAGGCACAGAAATATTTTGCTAAGTATTGAGCAACCCATTACCGTGGCCCCGAGGAATACAGTACAGTGGCTTCTCCGGCAGGGGTCATGCCATTATCCTTGGCTCAGGCCTGACCACAAGCCTCAGAAGACTCTCGGGCTCCATTTAAATGAACTGGGGTCTAGGTACTTGGTTCAGGCTGCAGGGACAAGCTCTACCGCTGTCTGTGGGCTTCAGAAGGGGCTGAGCCCCACTAACCCAGGTTCTGCTGGGGGTGGTAGGAAATGGTTTCGGCGGGGCTGGGTGGGGACACCTCCTACTAACTGTGGTCCAGAAGGATGCTCGTGATGGACTCCAGCCCTCTTGCTTGTGCTGGAATTCTGAGACCATGAACTCTGCTGGAAACATAGTTCTGCAAGGCCAGGGACGAGAAGGCTCAGGTGACATTACATGGGGTAGTAGTCAACTTGGTCATGTGGGCAGGTGACCGCCCCTTTGGAGGCTAAGTTTGTTCATCCGTAAATAGGAATGGTCAGAGATCCTGCCACTGTTACCAGGATTTGTGGTATTATGTGCAAAGGGCTGAGAAACCTGGAAGGTACTCGGTTGTCATTATTAGGTAAGGGGATTTATGCTCAGGACAAACAGCTGATGTGGCTTCGATATTTTATCTCTCCGCGCAGAAACTAATCTGTGAGCCAGGGAACCGTGAAGAGCACATTGAACAGGGTGCAGAGGCAGCCATGGCTGAATCAGAAGTGCATGAAGTGGGGAACAGGACTAGGGCCCCTGGGAAAGCTCCCGGTGTTATTTCTCGTGCTTTGTTGCTACCGGATGGCAGAGGGATGGGCACAAGACTCAGGAGAACCTGACTGAGGGAAGCACAAATGGTAGAAAATCCTACTGACTAAGGTTTCAACTTCAACTCACTGTTTCCCTCTGGGACACTTTAATGCCCTAGGTTTCTAAATATTCTTGTAAAACTGCCATGACATGGTGCAGTTTTTTCTTAATAGACGTCAAGTAATCTCATTTTGAAGCAGTTCACAAATCCCATCCACTTCTGGCAGATCATTCTATTCTTTGCCTCCTAACCCGAGGAGACAGAAGTGAAAAGTGTAGCTAATGCCCTGTTGGCCCCGCTGGCTCTGAGTCTCCTGAGAAGGAAAAGCCGAGGGAGTTCCAGGCGTGGGGATGGGAGGGGCCGTGGAGAGCCCTGCGAGCTGGCAGGAGCAGAGCTGGGCAAGCAGAGTGAGTCTGTTTCCTGGGCAGTGGGAACCCTGTGGGGTTCCCGGGCGACTCCCACACACCCCGGGGCCTGCCTGGATGTGTGACTTTATCTGAGGGGGTCACGCCGGTCCTGGTAAGGACGCATGTGCCCCTGCCGGTCTCCTGGAGGATGTGCTGGCACAACCCAGACAGAACAGAGCACAAAGGGAGTGGGGAGGCGAGGGGACTCTGTCCTCCACCTGCATGTTTCTTCTTCAGCTCGTATGGTCTTTCTAGTAAAGCAAACTGGGAGGTTATCGTTGGTCCCTGCATAGAGTGAAGATTTGTGTCCCCTCAAATTTCACGTTTAAGCCCTAACCCCAACATGACAGTATTTGGAAGTTACAGACATACCTTGTTTAATTGTGCTTTTTACACATCGAAGGTCCGCGGCAAAAACGAAGGGTTTCTATAGAGTTGGCAGGTGGCCAGCATTTTAGAAGAAAGGTATATACATGTTGTGGTTGGTTAGACATGACCCCATTGCACAGTTAAGGAACTACAGTGTAAACATAGCTTTCATATGCATTGGGAAACCAAAACATTTGTGTGATTATTTTACTGCGATATTTGCTTTATTGTGGTGGTCTGGAATCAACCTGAAATGTCTCTGAGGTGTGCCTGTAATCAGATTAAGATGAAGCCATGAGGGCCTCCCCAGTGGCGCAGTGGTTGAGCGCTGGGTTGCGATGCTGCCCGCAGCCTCTGCAGTGCCGGTTCGATCCCCGGCTGCTCCCCGGCCACCAGAGGAGGGTTCCACATGGCGCGCAGACCTCTCCTGCCGCCCGCTGCTCCCCTCAGCAGTGTACTTCGGTCCTTCTGCCTGCTCTGCTCCCCGCTCTCGCTCTGGTGAATTCTCTCACCCTCCCGCGCTTCTGACTGTACCCAGTGCATGTATAAACAAAACAAACAAATAAATAAAAACATGCCTCTATTAAAAAAAAAAAAGATGAAGCCATGAGATGGGCCTCTCATGAGTGGCTTTGTAAAAAAAGGAAGGACAATCTCTTTCTATGAGCATACACTGAGGAAAGGCCACACAGTTTGTAGCAGACAGCTGTCTACAAGCCAGAAGCAGCTCTTCACTAGGAAGTGAATCTGCCCACACCTTGGTCTTAGAGTCCAAGCCTCCAGAACTGCGGGAAATATAAATGTCTGTTGTTTAAGCCCTGTCGTCTATGGTGTTTATTATGGCAGCCTGAGCTAAGACAGCCCTTTTCACTCACTCAGCACACATGCATTTGGCTCTCACTGTTATCTCAGGTGCTGGGCAGGGGCGATGTGTGGAAGATATGGAAATGATAAGAAAGGACAAATGATCAACATTGTGATGGCGACCAGAGCTTTAAAAGGCAGCATGGTAAGAGGTCAAGGGCCGACCAGAATGTGTAGGGGCTGCCTTATCCTTAGGTAGGGGAAGGAAGAGGAGAAGAGAGGGAAGGTCTCCTGAGAGACTCTTGTCCTGAGTGGAGGGAGGCAGCCACACTGTGATCCAGAGTAGAAAAATCCAGGCAAAGGAATCATGGCTAAAACCAAGGTCTAGAAGCTAGTGATGCCAGCAGTAATTGAGGCTCAGAAGTGTGTGCCATCATATGAAGCAGTGAACAAACAAGGATGGATGGGACATGAGACTGGGAAGCTGGATGAGATCCTGATCCCAGAGAATGTGATCAACCTGTGAAGAATTCTATATTTGGCAAATTCTAGATTTACTCAGTGCAACTGAAAGACCAGGAAAAGTTTTCTGCAGGGGAGGGACATGATCTGATTTTTATTTTATAAAGATTTTATTCCACGTAGAACTGGGGTATAGGCCAGAGGTGGGGAGGGTGAGAGGCCAGAGACAGAGTGGGGAATAGAACAGGCAGATCCACTGAGATACACTGCTAAGGGGAGCAGCGGGTGTGACAGGTGAGGTCTGCTGGGCCATACGTGGGTCAGCTCCCTGGCGGGATTATCAAACTCAGGCCATTGTGGTGATAGTGCTGAGACTTAATCCCTAGGCCACCAGAGAGGACCTGTTCTGATTTTTAAAAGCATTCTCAGACTGTTGTCTGGAATGGAGGTTGGGCAGATGCTACATATGATGGTGTCAAAACTAGAATGGTTGCAGTGGAGGTGACAAGAAGTAGCCTGGCCTGAGATGTATTTTAGAAGTAGAGCTTAAGGACCTGTTAACATTATCATTTGCAGGAGAGATGGCTGATTTCCACAGAGGCCAGAGTAACTGGGTAGAAGATGGTTAAGACAAATGGAGAAGCAGGTAAGGGCAGAGTGGGAAGACCCATTTGCTGCCTGTAACTGTGGTCCCAGCTGTGATGGCAGTCTGCAATGTACAAAGGGAACTGAAAACCCAGCGCTGGTAGAGATCATGTTGCAGAGGGGAAGGGCTAAGCGCAGTTAGAGATGAAGCCCAAGGGTACTTGATATTCAAAGGGCCAGCATGAAATAGGAGAAAATAATAAGCAAAGGTTAGAGGAGAAACCTGTACAAAGGCCAAGGACAACCACCTCAAATACCACAAGTTGATCAAATGAAAGGAAAACAGAATCCACCACTGGATTTTGCAAGAAAGCAGCAGGAAGACTGGCACCCATAGGGCACAGGGATGACAGAACAGGCAGGAGGGCTAAGGTGAAAAGAGGAAGACCAGAGGATGTGGCAGTAGCTAGCAGCACATCTAGACAGAGACAGAGCTTGTTACTTTCAAGACGGGTGACAGAGCCGGGCAATGGGGAGAAATTCATGACAGGGAAGACAGATAGTTGCAGGCCTGTGCAAGAATGGGGACCCAGAGTACAAACGGAAAGAGTCAGGGTGAGGAGCACACACACCTCCACTTTAACTGGAGGGAACGGAGCAGATGGGCTGGAGGACTTGTAGTCACAGACAAGCTGGTTCCCTCCTGACTGCCCTACTTTCATGGAAAATCTGAGGTCTACGCAGTAACTAAAAAGGGAAACAGCTGCAGCAGGATTGCTAGGTAGTGTGACTGCCCATTTATGACTTGAGGTTAGAAATTTAAAGTGTAACCGCCTGCCACCGTATATGACTTCTTTGGGAACTGTTCGGTTGCTAGGGCGCAGCTGGGTCAGCCAGGAGCAGCAGCACTGAAGAGGTAGTTGGATTCAAGCAGAACAGGTGGTCCTGTCACTCTAGCAGGGCCTGTAGCCATTGCTGGAGGACGAGGATGTTTTTATACATTTTATACATCTCAACACTACAGACCAAATTTAAAGAGATGAAAATTAATGATTTTTTGATTTAGTAGCCAACAGGAGGAGCCATCACATAAACAAGAATTTATTTCAGGATTATACTTTTACTATAGATTAAAATTTAATATAATTTAATTCACATATAAGGATAACTTTGGAGACTATGTGGATACGATATGGGGTTAAGTAGAGTAGCTGAGGTCATCACACACTTAAGCCTGAGCGGATACCAACTTGCTCAGGCCTGAGAAATAGGATTTCTCTCTTTCACTCATTACTTCAAAATGGAGTGGTCTTCTGCAAAAGTTGCACTCGGCTGAAGAATGTGGCTTGAGTTTCAGTCCCACTCGCTTCCATGTGGACAGAAGATTCTCTGTGAGAAGAAACAGTTTAATTTAGGAGTAGTATATACCCAAGAGAAATGAAAATATGTCCATGCAAAATCTTGTGAACACAGATGGTCACAAATGCCAGAGACTCAAGCCTTAGGAGGTGTCTTCTCCCTGTAACAGCCATTACTGTGCAGCTTGAAGTCATCCTGACAATGGGCACTGGAAAGAACGGGTGTACTACTAGGCTCCCTAAGAGCTTCCAAATAACGCTGCACCCTCTTAAAATGAATCAACTAAATGTCTCTTTTAGAGTTTTATATCATCTCATAGCATTCTTAACTTCTTGGGAAAAGAAGAAACAAATCTGAATGCCTCTGAAGGGCTTCAACCACAAACACTACAAACGCAGCTCGCCAGTGAGGTCCTAGCAGCGCTCCGGTTGCTCCCGGTACTCACCAAGGAAATAGTTCATCATCTGCGGTGTGTGATGAGGGGTGGGGGCAATCCGCAGGAGCTCTTCCCCACGGGGCACTGTAGGGTAATTGATTGCTTGGACGTAGATGTTATGTCTACTCATGAGTTCATCACAGACTTCCGTGTTTTTAGCAGCATCTGCAACCTAATTTGTGGATAACAGAAGGTAAGATCAGAACAAGATGTACTCCTTTGTAGCAGAGACTCAGACTCTAATGAATACAGTGCCCACAAGGTTTAGGGTTGAGCACCACATGCAATGCTGGGAGAGAGGTGAAGTGTTCCTATACTCATGCAATGGAAAGGGGTCAGTGCTGCTCAGCGCTGTTCAGTTCAGGCCAGAGAACTGAAACCATGTTAGATGTCAGTCTGATCTCCCCCAAGGCTTCGCGTAGGGTAAGCAGGTGCTTCTGTGACCCCACCTGGCTTTCATATCCAGGGGTGTGCACACTGTGGGGCGGGGGGAAGGCAGCTTTGGTTACACTAGCTGTTCAAAGCAAAGGGCTAGCATTTTAGCAGAAAGGGCAAGACCTACTTTGAAATTAACTGAATAGAAAGCCAAACTTCAAAGCTTGCCAAGTTCAGACTTCTAGAGCTTTCCAGATAGAAAGCTCTGTTTTTACCCTATTGAGGCCGGTGCTCTGGAGAAAGAACCTCTGCTCCAGCCTGCTGGGTTCAAAGGTTTATTCTCATTGTGAAGTCAGCCAAAGGCGGAAACTAAGTGGAAGGCCACTGGCTACAGCCCCCTGCCCCAGCAGTTACCCTGCCCCAGCCCAATTTCAGGAAGGCATGACCCAAAACACTTCATATCACGTGCTGAGGCAGTCCCCAGTAGGTCTAATCACAGGCCATTACCCGGACAGGGATGATATGACTGGGGCAGTGGACAACTGGGAGGCCGGCATCCATTAGCATCTGCCTCATGAGCTTAACATTGCGCTGGTGCTGGCGGCGAAGTGTCCTCCCCTCGGCGCTCTTCAGGATCCGCACAGACTCCAGGGCTCCAGCCAGCAGCATGGGTGGCAGGGAGGTGGTAAAGATGAAGCCAGCCGCGTACGACCGCACAGTGTCAACTAGGGAGCTTGTGCTGGCGATGTACCCTCCGACACAGCCAAAGGCTTTGCCTGGGAGAAGACAGTCTTATTTACTACAGCAACAGTCCTAAATGTACACAGCAAAGTATTACACAGTCTCAAAGCATTTCCTTTCCTTTTTATTTGCTTAATGTGCCCTAATTCTGAGGTAAAGGCATGATCATCCAATTCTGAAAGGGAAAAAGCTGAGGAAATTTATGACAGGGTTTTTTTTTTTTTTTTTAATTTGTAACTTTTTATTTATTTATTTATCTAAAAGTTTTATTTATTTATTTATTTATTTATTTATTTATTTATGTGTTTGTTTGTTTGTTTATTTATTTATGCATACAAGCACTGGGTACAGTCAGAAGCGTGGGAGGGTGAAAGAACTAACCAGAGCCAGAGCGGGGAACAGAACAGGCAGAAGGACCGAGGTACACTGCTGAGGGGAGCAGCGGGCAGCAGGAGAGGTCTGCGCGCCATGTGGGACCCTCCTCTGGTGGCTGGGGAGCAGCCAGGGATCGGACCGGCGCTGCAGAGGCTGCGGGCAGCTTCGCAACTCAGCGCTCAACCGCTGCGCCACCGGGGAGGCCCTATGACAGGGTCTTGCCCAAAGTCATATGGTCAAGCTGGTATGTGGCCAGGATCAAAATGCAGGTCTCCAGGAGAGGCCTGGCCGCTGAGCGTTTGCCCCAGTGTGCCTGAATACCAAGCTGCTGTTCGCCTCTTCTCCCACTATCCTTTCCCACCCAGGCCTGCAGCTCGTGGCGGGGCAAGGTGCTCTCTCTGTGTGCTGCCCTATGTTTGCACTGTGTGCACTCTCTGGGGCGGGGCCCGCACTGCTGTGCCTCAAACTGGGAGCGTTACCTGTGAGACTGGAATGTAACCCAGCTAAGACATTAACTGTTTTGGTGTGACTGGTATTATTTCCTATTTAAGTAAACACAAAACTTGGACAACTAGCATTTGCCATGTAAATATGAAAACTGAGAACCTGTTAGGTTTGATTTAGGACTAGCCTCATTTTTCAGTTCTTATTAAGTCTCTTTATATAATCTGTATCTCAAGTTTCAGGATTAATGACTCTAGAAGAGTCCTCACAGATCTTAACATTATGTTCTGTAATTAACATTCCTGTGTGACCCCCCTGCAGGGCTGGGTTGATATAAGCTATTACAGTGGAAAATCTCTCCAGTTTGTTCCATCTCACAATGACCGTAACTTCAAAGAGTCTACAAATAAGAGCTCTTTAAAAGAAAAGAGCTTCTGGAATTTGGACACATGAACAAGTGTTTTTCCCCTGGCAGACCAGGTTCTTCTGATCTGCAGGGGGTAACAGTGTTGAAGTGCATTTTTTTTTTTTTTTTTCATAGAAGAACTGGGGTGGAGGCCAGAGGTACGGGAGGTGAGAGGATTCACCAGAGACAGAGTGGTTAACAGAACAGGCAGATTTACCAAAACACACTGCTAAGGGGAGTAGCAGGTAAAACAGGAGAGGTCTGCTGCACCAAGTGGGTCAGTTCCCTGGCCGGGGGTCGAACTCAGACCCTAGCAGTGATAGGGCTGAGACTTAACCCCTAGGCTATCGTGAGGCCCTGAGTTGCACTGTTTTTAGCCTCCCCCGCTTTTTTTATCAAGTGCAGGCCATAAATTGGCATTTTAGCTAATTGCTAGATAGGCCTCCAATTGCCTTATAACTTGAAATCCTCAATTTTTTTGTACAATTTACATGGTCACCTCTTTATATTCCTCACAGGCAAAGAAAATGTCTATAGTAATTATTTGCATATCTGTTCCACAGATTCACTTATCTGTTCCACAAAAACTAAGGTAGGTCCTATAGACATTCCTCACCATTGTATTGATGAGGAAACTGAGGCAGAGAGGTGGACTACCGGCCCAAGGTCACAAGCTAGTGAGTTATGCAGGCAGGGTTTAAGCTCAGTAGGGAGCACAGCTCTGGTGTCCCAGCATCATGAGACACTGCCTCTTACCTAGGGGGAGCAGAGGAAATACAAAGCCCCTGTGTGAATGGGAGTGGCTCCCATGTGACAGGGACAGAGGTTAGCACCTCACAATGGCTGAACCTGCAGGTCCCAACTGCTCTGGGAGAAAACTATCTTTTTAAATATAAGGAAACAACCTGAGGCATAGAAAGTAAGGCTTTTGTCATGGCACAGCATACATACCAAGTGTTCCAGAAATGATGTCCATTTTTGGCATAACTCCATCCCGATCACCAATACCTCCACCTCGAGCCCCGTAGAGCCCCACTGCATGGACCTCATCCACAAAGGTGATTGCTCCAAATTCATGGGCCACATCACAAAGCTCTTCCAGTGGGCACACTGCTCCTGAGTAAAGACCACAGGCTGCTCTGAAGAACTTTCTATTTTATAAATTTCTTTTTGCAAAGAGTCAGTCAAGAACAAAGTAATGTATGTTCTAAACTATCATTATTAATATTGGGGAAAAAGTGACTTCCCCAATTTCTAGGTTATCTTGTGGTCTTAGAGCATAGCAGAAGCCAGAGTAGAAAATCTACATTCACCCAAATCTATACAATGTCCACCAATTACAAGATCCTGGCAATAAGTGAAGAGAAAGGAAACTGCAATAACAATAACACCATACTTTTCAAGAGTTCAGGTCTAATTTTCATTTGAGGGTTCAGACTGGTCTCTACTCAGACTTACCATCCATTGAATGGACAGTTTCAAATGCAACAATCTTAGGGACTGAGGGGTCAGATCTTTGCAGCAGTTCTCTGAGATGGCTGACATCATTGTGACGGAAAATGTACTTTGGCACCCCGCTGTTCCGAATCCCTTGGATCATGGAGGCATGGTTCCCAGAATCAGAGTAAATCTCACAGCCTAACAGGACAAAAATGTTATTTATTGTCATCTGAAACAAAGACAAATTATTTCCTAGACAGTCAAGAGACAACAGACGTAGCCTGAAAATGCTACTTTTGCCTAGAAGGAAAAAAAATACTGCATGCCAGCTCGTTTCTAGTGGAATAACTAGTGCTTCTCCTTTGAAAAGGTCCATAGGTACAGAATAACTGTGTGGCAGGCAATCAATCTGCTTGTTAATCTGGCTGCCTCACTCAAATGCTAACAATTCCCACTTCATTTTTTTTAATAATTCCCACTTCAAACTCAATTAAAAAATAACTATAAATAATTAAGAGATTTCTCAAAATTTTTTTCTTAAACTACAAATCACATTTGAAGCAATTAGCTTAAGTCCTTTAAATTTGATTCTTCTCTGATATCATGTTCTGCTAGACTTTATAAAGTGCAGTGAGTACTTCATGCTCAATTCAAGGACAAATGCTTCCAGATATTATCATTACTCTGAAATGAGTGTTCTTGGTAGGCCTTCTTTGTTGCAAATATTCCTGTTACTAAGAAACACAAAAACTCTAAGGCACCCATAACAGGCTTCCTTACTTGGCATCATCTTAGCCAGAGTGTAGAGAGTTGAGTCGTTAGCCACAAAGCATGAGGAAAACAAGAGTGCTGCATCCTTCCCATGGAGGTCAGCCAGTTCCTGCTCCAAGTCCACATGGAATTTACTAGTACCAGAAATATTTCTCGTACCACCTGCTCCAGCACCATGTTGTTTCAAAGTGTCCCTTAAAAGAGAAAATAATTCTTATTGTCCTCATTCGGACTTCCCTTTTTCATGGCTGACAAATGATGTTCACATAGGTGTTTATTTTTTTTTAAAGATATATTTTTTATTTATACACTAGCTGGGGTACAGGCTAGAGGCGCGGGAGGGTGAGAGGATTCACCAGAGGCAGAGTGGGGAGCAGAACAGGCAGATGGACTGAAAGCACTGCATGACTGGAGAGGTCTGCTGCGCCATGTAGGAATCTCCCTGGCTGGCCGGGAATCGAACCTGCACTGTAGAGGCTGCGGATAGCGTCAAGGCGCTGTGCTCAACCTGCTGCGCCACCAGGGAGGCCCCACATAGGTGTTTGACTAAGTTAATTAAAAACAAGATTCCAGGGCCTCCCCTGGTGGCGCAGGCGGTTGAGCGCTGCAGGCGGTTGAGCGCCGCACTGTGAGACTGTCCGCAGTCTCCACAGCGCTGGTTCAATCCTAGCCCTCCGGCAAGGGTCGAGTTCCACGTGGCGCGGCAGACCTCTCCTGTCTCGCCCGCTGCTGCCCTCAGCAGTGTATTTCAGTCAGTCTGCCTGTTCTGTTCCCTGCTTTGTCTCTGGTGAATCCTCTCACCCTCCCGCGAATCTGGCCTGTACCCTGGTTCTTACATAAATAAATAAATAAATCTTAAAAAAATATAAAATAAAATAAAAACAGATTCCAGAATCATACACATATAGGAGGAGAGATGAGGAAAAAAATGACCAAGAGCAACTGGGATAATTTTTCTAACTTCCTTTTCAAATAAAAGCAGAAGCACTAGAAATGCAGAATGGCTTCTTTATTCCTTGCCTTGGCAAGGGCCTGATGGGGCCCTTCCCTCCCTCAACCCAAACACCAAGCAAGCTGATGAGGACAAGGGACTTTCTCAGGACCCAGGCTGTCCCCCTCCTTCTCAGTTTCCTAATAGGAAGCCACTTCTGCACATGGCGTATGTCCTCCTCTGCCATCCTTTTTCATAAGCCTTTTAAAAGTAGTTTTTCCTCCAAAGCTGCTAGTTTTTTACTTCTCCAACAAGAGCTGTAAACAAGGATGTCCCTGTGCAAGACTGCCGGGTGTGAAAGGCACACTCACTTGTGGAGTGATAGGAAGTGAACTGAGACATGTACTCAGACTCAATAAACTGAACCCTCAAACACTAAGGGGCTCCACCAATTATTTGTACCTTAGAATTTCTTTACAAGGAATCTGTAGATATTTTTAAAGGCTTAGTATTCTGCTATGACACACTGTTGAATATCTCAACTGTTGAATATTGCTCCCATAAAAGATCCACCCTTACATATCTTCAATGTCTTGCCAAATAATGTCAGTGATATCTGAAAGTTGAGGGCTACTTACATGACTGCCCCACACACCCGTGGGTGGCGACTCATCCCTAAGTAGTCGTTGCTGCACCAGACTGACACCTGCTTTTTGGTGATGAGAGAATCTGAATAGTCATCCGCCATGGGGAAGATGTGCGCTCTTCGGTTCACAGTTTTAAAAACCCTATAGGTATGGTCATTTTTTTTCTCATCAATTTTCTTCTCAAAGAAACGATCATATTGAAAAGTGGAAATAGCTAAAAAACAAACAAAAGACAGTACAGTCAGATGGTTAAAGAGCATGTGTGGGACCTGGCAAAAGACCTGGGTTCTGTGTTAGCTGGGTCACTTGTAGCAGGGAGACCTGGGCAAATTAATGAAATACTCATCTGGGCATGTTACTTGATGTCTTCATCTTGAGACTGTGTAAGTCTCAAATAAAACTGTAGGTCAAGTTTAGCACAGCACCAGTGTATAGATGGGAGGCATTAAGAAATAGAAGGCAGGGCCTCCCTGGTGGCACGGGCAGTTGAGTGCAGCGCTGTGAAGCTGTCTGCAGTTTCTGCAGTGCGGGTTTGATCCCAGTTGGCAGGGAGATACCCATATGGCAGGGCAGACCTCTCCTGTCTCGCCTACTGCTCCCCTCAGCAGTGTATTTCAGTCAGTCTGCCTGTTCTGTTCCCCACTTGGTCTCTGGTGAGTCCTCTCACCCTCTGCACATCTGGCCTATACCCCGGTTCTTGTATAAATAAAATCAATCTTTAAAAAAAAAAAAAAAAAGAAATAGAAGGCAGGGCCTCCCTGGTGGCACAAGGGGTTAAGACACAACCTATGAAGCTATCTGCAGCCACTGCAGCACATGCTCAATACCCAGCCAGGGGGCTACCCACATGATGCAGCAGACCTCTCCTGACTCACCCGCTACTCCCCTCAGCAGTGTATTCCAGTCAATCTGCCTGTTCTGTTCCCCACTGTCTTTGGTGAATCTTCTCGCCCCCTGCACCTCTGGCCTGCACCCCAGTTCTTGTATGCATAGATAAATAAATCTTTAAAAGAAAGAAATAGAAGGCAGGCTACAAACTCAATTTGTAGTTGCTCTCGGTGAGAGTAAGGGAAATGCGTTTCAGTTCACAACTCATTTATGTTTAATCTGATGTATATTTAAGTTAGAAACTCTCCTGCATCAGGCCAGCAATGAGACTTACATTTTGGCAAGTTATCTTGAAGAAGATGGGACACGCCTTCTGGTCTTTGCTTCCGCATGATATCCTGAAAGTTCTTCAGCAATCCACTTGGCTCTCCGCCATCAGTCTTCATGCTAATCACACTGGGGTTCACTGAGGTTTGGGCAACCTCTGCAGCAAATGTAACATAAGGCAAAGAGACCAATATTGTAGTCAGGGTTGACAATACCTTCCAGACATACTGCCAAAAATGACTAACTGCCCACTTGACCAAAAAAAGCCAACTACAACTAGTTATGAGTGATACATGAAACTTCTCTTCTATTTTAATTATTGAAATGGCCAACATCTGCTGCAGTTTGTTTTTGGAGCTACTAGTCAGTTTTTAATGAACATTAAAGTCCAAAGTTTTCTAGCTGGTTCACATGCTTTCTCTACCCACAAACCTTATCTCGATTTTCTTCACAAAAGACAATTCTAGTCATATATACATCATTTCTGCTATTGGGGTACTCTTTGGGACCTTGGGTGCTCCATGGATACAGCCACAACTGGAATTAAGTTGTCACTCAATGACCATTAATTACAGACACACAGATGGGAGTCCTAAGACTATTACTTACTGTAGTAACATCATCATTTGTACCTCTTATACCAACAGATGGTGGAAAGAAATAAAGGAGTAATAGTTTATTACTAGAGGGTATTTTTGGAAATTAAGCAGTTACTGTAAAAGCTGGCCACATTCTATACACACACCAGAAAGTCCCACATCCTGCCATCCAGTCTTTTGACTATCTTGATGACCTTCTCCTTGGTCCTAAAAGAGGAAGATATTTACACAAATATACTATACTATCCTAATAATAGCTCATTCATAAACCTGAGGGTCCAGAAATAAATACCAAAAGGACCTCTTCAGCTCTCCTAATGGTTCTTGTCTTTTCTGTTTACCTTTTCTCACAGCATGCATTTCCTGCACATCCTCTTGAAGCTCTAGACTGGCTTTGCGAAAGACACTGCTGCCTTTCTGGCTCATCTGGGCTGCCAGAAAAGGGCATTTGCTCGCAGTGCCCTGGCTCGTGGCAAGGGAGGGGTGTCCAGATGGAAGCTGTGTGCTATCTGAAGTCTGCTGGGATCCATCAGGAGCCTGCTGAACCTCAGTTTTGGCAGTTTTGTCTTCTGAGGGAGAGAGAGAAAAACTGAAGCATCAGAACTGGTTGTTAGAACATGAGAAAACCACTGGTTTCTTTCTCTTATTGTATTATTTCAAAAACAAACTTTATACTTACCCTACCCCACAATCCAGACACAATTTATTTTTATTAGGTCCTGTTAATGTGATAATTTTCTCATCTGTCTCACTGGAAATTATATTTCTGTAAGAGTTAACTAGTAGTCCAGTTACCTCTTGAAACTACAGTATTTCTTACTTACAAATATAGTATTTTCTAGTTTCAGACAACCCAGAGTTCTTAAATTGGATTATTTCAAGTAAATCTACCTCAAGTACACTTAGCATATTTCATGAGAGGATACTCCTGGAAGTGTTCAGAATTTTTTCTGTTAATATTTTCTAAACAGATTCTTTACAATGAAGTTTGCTGTTGTTTAACATATAAACTACTGGTTTTCTTCTTAACAAAAGAAATTGGGCTAATAGTGAAGTCTTTAGACTGCTATCTAATAGAGATCAAATAATTAGTATGCTAAGGAAAAATCATATTCACACACCTCATCTACTTTCTCATTTAAATGCATCAAAGTTGTTCATGGACTTAATACGGTTAGTAATTACGTGTCCAGTTATAATTAATTCCCTCTCCCCTTGAGCAAATTTGTTCACCTTCCTTCTAGAAAAGTCTTTCCTCATCATTCTGGAATACTCCTGTGAGTCATACACTAGCCTTTCCCACAACTTGGGTAAGGTGTCTCAACATAGTTTTCATCAAAATCTTCTATAAAGGAAAGCCAAAAAAAAAAAAAAAAAAAATGAAGTTCATTTTATTGATTATAAAAAGTAATACCTATTCATTGTAGGAAGTCTAGAAAAATTAAGAAAGAAAGTACTATCATTCAAAACATCACCATTGATATGGTATATTATCTTTCTCCCTGTGTACAGGTTTTTAAAATTTTTTACTTATTCTGTGTATGTTCGCTATTCTGCTCTTTTAATTATAAAGTTACTTTCTTTTAGCCAGAACCACCATCTTCCAGTCGCCAAAATGACCAACACAGGGAAAGAGGGGAGGCACCTGCTATATGTTCTCTAGGTCTTTTAGAAAACATGGTGGTGTTCCTTCTGCCACACACAAGCAGATCTACAAGAAAGGTGATACCGTAGACATCAAGGGGAGAGACACTGTTCAAAAAGGGCTGTCCCATAAATGTTACCTTGACAAAACTGTTAGAGTCTATAACGTGACCCAGTATGCAGTTGGCATTGTTGTAAACAAACAATGGCAAGGTTCTTGCCAAGAGAATTACTATTAAGCATTTTTAGCTGAGGTGGTTTCCTAAAACAAATGAAAAAAAAATGATCAGGAAAAAAAAGGAAGCCAAAGAGAAAGGTACTTGAGTTCAGCAGAAGTGCCAGCCTGCTCCACCCAGACAAGTACATTCTTTGAGAACCAATGGCAAGGAACCTGAGCCGCTGTGACCCAATCCTGTGAATTCATGGCATGATGGGTGTGAAAAAAAAAATACAAGACCTTTGGACTATTAAAAAAAAAAAGTTCTGCTTAAGCTAGTAAATATTTTGTGAATATTACTTGTGATGACGGCATAGGAGTCTGTCAAGTGGACAAGCTACATTCTACTCAATGATTCCTCTAATGCTTGGAAAAGAATGGTAAAAGAGGATTTGATTGTTCAGTTAAAAAAAAATAACTCCTGGACAATGGTAAAGAGGAAAATAAGTCCTACAAAGGATTAAACCCTTTTTACTTAAAGAAAAGAAAAACATTCCTTTCTTCTAAGTCCACATCTAAAGAACACACCTAAGACAGACTGTAAGGTAAATTATTCTTTAGGATTAAGTGGAATCTGAAAAGCCTTACTCTCTCCTGGCAGAGTCAGATCAAAACTAAATCGAACTGATCTTTTTACTCTTTATTAAAACAAGGAAATTCATATAGAAAATAAAGATACATGTGTTTTAAAAAATAACTACTCTACTGGCTATTGTATGATTCCACTGAGAGCCCTAGAGAAATCCAATTCCTAGAGTCAGAAAACAGAATAGTGGTTGCCAGGAGTTGGGGATGGGAATTTAGTGTTTAATGGGCACAGAGATTCAATTTGAATGATGAAGAATTCTAGAGATCAATGGTTGTACCACAACATGAATGTACTTAATACCACTGAACTGTAAACTTAAAACTGGCTGAGAGGGTTAAGTTTTACGTTATGAGAATTTCATCACAAAATAATTTTAAAAAGAAATGAAGGAAAAAATTCTAACTTTCAAAGCCAAAGCTTCTATACAATCTTGCTGTGAACATAAAACTACTCTAAAAATAGTCTATTAAAAAAATCCAAAGGGCCAAATATTTAATGAAAGGTTGGAATAAAACATTCCAACAATATAGTTATATAAATGAGGCACTGACCAACAGTAAAACTACTATAGACCTTGACATACAATAAAGAAACCTGTAATGTGGAACACTGGCCACCATTTCACCTTTATTTATTTTTTTTTTTAAGATTTATTTATCTATTTATACAAGCACTGGGTACAGTCAGATGCATGGGAGGGTGAGAGGATTCACCAGAGACAGAGCAGGGAACAGAATAGGCAGACTACACTGCTGAGGGGAGCAGCGGGCGCGGCAGGATTGTGCACCATGTGGGACCCTCGCAGGTGGCCGGGGATCAAACCGGTGCTGCAGAGGCTGCGGGCAGCTTCTCAGCCCAGCGCTCAACCTCTGTGCCACCGGGGAGGCCCCCACCATTTCACCTTTAAAGGTGACAAAACTAAAAATTCCTATGTTGTGGGGTTAGGACAATTACATGAACTAATTCACAGAAAGCACATAGTAACCCCCTTGGTTACCACCCTGGGGCTAGAACTGCCTCTAGACTAGGAATGACTGCAAACATTGCACACACACACACACACACATACACACACACTTTATTTTCAATAACACTTACTCTCATTGGCTGGAGGGGTTTCCTTGACCTGCTGGCAGTGTATTGCTGAAGTGGACAGGGGCCGAGGGGCTGGCTTGGTCCCAACTTCCATCATCTTAGGGCAGTTTTGGGCATAAAACAAAAGAGATTTGCCTGCCTTCTGCAGAAAGGCCTGAGGCACTCGGGATAAGAATGGGCAGCGGCGAACAACAGTCTCCATGTCCCGGAGGTGCACTGATCCTGTAGAAAGATGAAAGACAGCAACACTTCATAATAATCAGGCAAATGCCACGAAAAGGTCACCCAGTTCAGGTGTCACCTGAAGTTTATAGCAACGGTACCCTGTAACACTAACACTTCTCACTATAAAATGTCCAAGGACAACAGCACTGAAGTGGGACTCAACTAAGGAGTAGTGCCCATACTTTACCTAGGTCACCAACTTCTTCACTCCACAGCTTTGTACAAAAGCACTTGCAAAGCAACTTTTCCAGATGAAGTAAATACTGATGATTAATAACCAAGGGGGTAGGACAAAGAGGGACAAGTTAGGAACAGGTTTGGGAGGTCAGAGGCTCCTTGAAGGAGATGCACAGAGCAGATATGACATCTTGGCGCACACTCAGGTGAAGGGAGGCTAGGGAAGAAATCACTGTCATCCATCCAGGCAGAGAGGAGTCTTAGGAAACCTGACCTTCTCCAGGTGGCCACACTCCCAAACTAGAGAAGGCGTCCAGCGGGCCCCTGGGTCCCTGAGGCAAGGTTTTCACCCAAGTCATGCCCCCACGCTGGGTGAACCGGTTACAAGCAAGAAAGAAGGGGGCATGGAGAAGGTCAAGGATACTAGGAGAAGCGCCCTTGGGGTTAACTGGGGATAGGCAGGGAGCATAAAACCGAGGGAGCTGGATCTGGCGGAGGCGGTGACGGCCCTGGGCGCGGGGGAGTCAGGTTTCCCCCCGGGTGGACGGCTCAAGAATAACGGGAGGGGTCCAGGAGAAGGAACTTCTAAAACGGCCAGCGAAACGGGGAGAGTCAGGAGGGGGCCAAGTCGGGGACACTGAGGCGGCCGAACAGGCTAAAGGCCTGGGAGATGAAGGCGGACCCAAAGGTGGTGGGGGATGGGGTCCCAACTGCCGGGACCGGACCGGGGCCAGCCCGGCACGCGGGGGCGCACCCGGCCGGCGCCGCTCCCAGAGCGCCGGCCCTCACCTGCGCGGGGAAATTCGTGGAGGCGGCGGCGGCAGCAGCGACGGCAGCGAGCACCCAAGCCCACAGGACAAGCTGACCGACGTCCTTGTCGGCGAGAATTCCGAGGCCGCGGCCGTAGTCGCTCTAATATACGCCCGGACTGAGGGATGCGCATGCGCCATGGGCGCCGGTCGTCTTCGCGCATGCGCGTGGCTTGGTGCTCGGCGGGGGGGGGGTGGCTGGAGAGGCTGGCGGGGCGGGGAGGCGCAGTCTGGGGAGGCTCGAAGGAAGTACAGCCCAGCGCGTGTGGGCTTGGTGGGTTGGAATGCGGTGAGGGCTGCCCGGGATCGTCAGCCGGGAATAGGGGCAAAGCGGTGGATAAACCTCGGCCTTCACTCCCTCCCCGCTTCTTCACTGGCTGCCCAGTATTTCAGAACTCCATTGTGGGGCATTAAGGAGCAGAGTTGGAGGGGAAGTGAGGGCCAACGCGGGCCATAAGGCTTTAAAAACGGGTCTTAAACTTGGAAGAGGGAGGGAATACAAGAGTTTCAGAACTAGGGTTTTAAGCAGGATCTGCCACCCTACCCTCCTCGGGCTTGCTTTCAGGGGTGTGACCCAGGGCCTCCCGGGAGTAGGTGGGGTTGGGTTGCCCAAAGATGGAGTTCCTGGGGGGTAACGCAAGGCACTAGAGAGAGTGACTTCAGAGTGAGGAGGAGCAGAAGCTGGAAGAGATCCAGCTGTGGCGCTTTCCAGTCTCAAATGAAGGAACTTAATCAGACTCAGAGAAGGGAAAGGGCTGGATGGAATCTATAGCTCTGAGCAACTGCGGGGGTGAAGGGTGGGGTAGAATGGGTGGGTGGTGGAATAGGGTGTGTATGTGGAGGGTGGGGTGGGCAGGTGGAGGCACAGGGCCTGACATATAGTTAGGATTTGACACATAAGGTTATTATTTGCTAGTTTTCCATGGTGAAAACACCACATTCACCAAGTGTGAATAAAGCCCCTCCTGACCACCCTGAGTACCAGTTGTGTGGCTCAAGACTCCATCCCAAAGTTCAGAGTTGGGCTGTACTTCCTTTGAGTCTCCCCCAGACTACACCTACAGGGTAGGGCTTGGCAAATCCCTCTCAGGAACGCCAGCCTGCTCTTGCTCCATATCCTTTGCAGCTTAACTTGGGCTTGGTTGGACTGGGCTTGTGCCAGCTCAGAACTGCCCTCCTCCAATCTTTTTTTTTTTTTTTCTTAAAGATTTATTTATTTAGGGCCTCCCCGGTAGCGCAGCGGTTGAGCGCTGGGTTGCGAAGCTGCCCGCGGCCTCTGAGGCACCGGTTCGATCCCCGGCTGCTCCCCGGCCACGGGAGGAGGGTCCCACATGGCGCGCAGACCTCTCCTGCCGCCCGCTGCTCCCCTCAGCAGTGTACTTCGGTCCTTCTGCCTGTTCTGCTCCCCGCTCTGGCTCTGGTGAATTCTCTCACCCTCCCGCGCTTCTGACTGTACCCAGTGCGTGTATAAATAAATAAATAAATCTTTAAAAAAATTATTTATTTATACAAGCACTGGGTACAGTCAGAAGCGCGGGAGGGTGAGAGAACTCACCAGAGCCAGAGCGGGGAGCAGAGCAGGCAGAAGGACCGAAGTACACTGCTGAGGGGAGCAGCGGGCGGCAGGAGAGGTCTGCGCGCCATGTGGGAGCCTCGCCAGTGGCTGGGGAACGAACTGGCCCCCAACCCAGCGCTCAACCGCTGTGCCACCAGGGGAGGCCCTGTTTTTTTTTTTTTTTTTAAGATTTATTTATTTATGCATACAAGAACTGGGGTACAAGCCAGAGGTGCGGGGAGTGAGAGGATTCACCGGAGACAGGGTGGGGAACAGAACAGGCAAACTGACTGAAATACACTGCTGAGGGGAGCAGTGGGTGAGACAGGAGAGGTCTGCTGCACCATGTGGGTCACCTCCCTGGCTGGGGATCGAACTCATGTTATACTGGCTGCAGATAGCTTCATAGTGCTGTCATAACCCCTGGCACCACCAGGGAGGCCCCCCTCCTCCACTCTTGAGGAAAAGGTTTACTCTGCCCCCAGCTGAGCATTAGTCAAAGGGACAAAGTCCAAAGTGATGTGACCAAGGTGTGTCCAGGTATTTCCAATTCCTTCTCTGTTTCTAACTAACAGGGGAGTCTCCCACTGAAGAGGCAACTGGGTCCAGAGTGGCATTGGGACCAGTTTAGAGGCCCAAGCTAAGGGCTCTGGCTTGGGAAACCCAGCTCTGTCCCATCCTGCTCAGGGGCCCTGGGCAGTGCTCATCAGTAGAAAGGAGGACAGAGAAAAGATCAGCACCTGAACACATACCCAAGTGCAGTTAGAAGTGGAAACAAGGTAGATGGTGTTGAGTGCTTGGCCTGTTTCTGGGCCTTACTTTCCTTACCTGGGCAAGGGCATCATAATTTCTGTTCTGCCTGTCTCACAGGACTGTTTGGGCGGCCAGAGGCAAAGTTGAAGCAGAAAGAACTGGTCACTAGAGCTGGACATGTGTTCCAGCCATGGCTCTGAATCTTCCTAGGCCTTGGCAGGCCACAACCTCTCTGAGGCTGGGTTTCCTTATTGTAAAGCTTACTTGTGGTTGGCGGGAGGGTCAGGTGAAGTCATGGATTTCAGAGGTTTATTGTTTAAACCAACAAGTCTCCAGCCTGCTGGGAGTTTCCTGTTTAATAGAGGGAAAGGTTGGGAAACAAAGCAGACTCATACAGAAAGTGAAATAGAATGTTGTAAACATTCCCAGATGGAGGGGGAGGAAGCTATTACTCCAACAGATGCTGAAGGAGGGGGGATCCCAGCCACCAGGAAGTATTCCAGAAAAGAGATGCTGGCTGGAAGGATAGGTCCCAGTGGAATTGGGAGACTGGAGGGTGAAGCCTTGAGGCTTGAGCTTGGGGGCGGGGAGGCAGTATGAGTCAGCACAAATAATTGGATTGTAGGCAGGGGTGCAACTTGGAAGTCAGACCAAGAAGGTCAAAAAAGAGTCACAGAGGTTCCCAGTGTTAGAATTCAAGAACCACCAACAGGGCACTGGTCAGAACACATACTCCTGCAAGTGGTCCTGTTACAGGGCAGGGAGAGGGGCAGCCCAAACCCTGCAAACCTGCCTATTTATTCTAAATGGGTTCTGCCATCCGCCGCATCAACACAAAACATATGAGACTTTAATGGAAAGGAACTTTAATACAACTAGGAAACAAGACAGGAAAGGCAAAGAATCTAGTTTCTAAATCAAGCACCTAAAGTTACCCGTCCCCTCGTGGGTAAAACTCCATCCAAATGGGACCGGCCCAGAGCAAGGCCCCAAAACCTGCCACAAGTCTAAAGCATCTTCCAGTGGAGACCCACAGAAAAGGGTCACAAACAACCAGACAAGCCCGGAAGGAAAAGAGCAAAATCAAAATCAAGATGAAAGCTGCCATGGTCACCTCCCCACGGGTCTCACCCACATCTGTGTCACCCAGTCCACGACCAAAAGACAAGCACAGTTTCTTCACATGTCGCTGGGCTCCATGAGCCTCCTCCAGGTCTCCTTCTGGCTCCATCCTGCTTCCTTCCTCAGTCTCCTCTTCAGCTTCTCCTCTCCCTGCTCAGCTCCACCTTCCATTTGGGTGGGGCAGGGAACCTGGAACCTCCCCCTTTCCTCGGGACCACCCTGTTACAGTCCCCTTGATTCTGATCATTTCATGCAGCCTCCACTCCTGCTAATGGTGGTTACCAAGTGAAAAATCTTGGGCTCACATTTTGGGAAATGCTTTCCAAGTGGTTTCTAGTTTGAGACTGAGGTATAAGGACTAAAGCTGTGAATTTTAATCCTGGCTATGTCTTTCTCTGATTCTGGGATCTTGGGCAATTACCCAAGGCCCCAGCCTCAGTTTTTGCATCTGGGAAGTGGGAATACCCCTCCTGTCTCAGTTATGAGACTTGGTGGGCCCTACTCTGGTAGTTTTTTTGTGTCAGTCTTCTTCCTCCCTGGGACCTTTTCTGTTCTTTTTCCTTTCTTCCCTTCACACCTCCCTCCTCCCTATTTCCTCCCTCTTTCCTAGCATGTCTCACTCCTCAGAGCTTCACAAGAACTCATCTTATCACTCTGGCCCTGGGCAGGGGAGCTTAAGCCCCTGGAGTTCAGGCAAGGTCAGACCCCCTTCCAGGGATGACCCTGGGGCCTGGCCTCCCCCACTTCCTCCAGGCCCCCCTACCCCCCCCCCCGCCCCTCCCACCGTCTATGTCTTCATCATTGTCAGGGGCTGCTGCACACAATTCCCACCCAGAGATCAAGGCAAAAGGAAAATGTTAGTCCCAGCAGAGAGTTCATTTTTTCCACTCTGGGCCCCAGGAGCTATTCTTAGCAGTACCCCTGCACAAGGGTCAAGTCACGAGGACAGGCTTACTGCTTTTATCTGGGCCTCAGTTTCCACATCTGTCTGTCAGGCAAGAAATCTTGCCAGTTTTTTGGAAGATGGACAAAACCTTCAGCTGCCGATGCTCAGGGTGGCCTTGGACTTGGGCCAGCAGTGCCCTTTAGGGTGTCTGTGCCAGTTTACATAGCAGTGTGTGTGGTGGTGGTGTGTGTGTGTTGCGGGGGGGGGGGGGGGAGGCAGCCTTGCAGTGCAGAGTGGCTTAAGTCTCCCAATACAGCTCTGCTCCACCCTGGAGGATAGGATTGGAACATGAGCTCCAATGTTCACAGTGTCAGGGCCCAAGAATTATCAGAAGACATGGAAAGGGAGGTTTGGGTGCAGTAGGAGCACTCTGAGGTCCCAACACCTGTTTTGTGCTGACACTGCCTTTGGAACCCCTTCAGGCTTTGACTCACCTAAGGCTAGTGTGAGCCTGAGGTTGTGAAACCAGCCCTGGGGTGAGGGACACACGCTGACTAGGAAAGCAAGGGGCCAGAGTGGAGCTGAGCTATC